GCCCAGCCACCGCACCAACCGTGCAGTCAAGAGTAAAGACTACATTATACTATAGTTTTGTAACAGTCGTTGTAATATATATGTAGGTATATGTTATATGCTTCATGATAAAATATTGATAATCCCAAAAGCCCATGACTCACTTTTTTTTTTCAAGTGGTGCAAGAAGTTTTATATCCAGGCCATAAAATCCAAAAAAAAAAAAAACAAGAAGTTTTATGTTGTAGTGTCACAATGACATTGTCAAAGCGTCAATGCTGTCATATTAACGTCACTGTCAAAGGGTATGAAAATGAACCTAACCGATTGTTGATAAAATAAATTGGACAAAAATTACATAAACATGGCATTCTTTCGAGGCTGGAGATATGTAGCTTTCGTTTCTGGATTTGTCGGATTTATTGGTCTTGCCCTTTATCCGATAGCTATAGCTCCAATGATAGACCCATCAGAATATAGTAAGTGTACTATTAGCCATAAAAACATTAAACTTATTGATTCTTGCTATTGATAACCTAGTTAATGGCATTTTATTTTTAAGGAAAGATTCAGAAGGAGGCTAGGAAGAATATAAGACAGGAAGACATTCAACCTGGAAGTGAGTTCATTATTACAACATATTTTTGTTTATTTCACAGTACTTATTGAATTTTTTTACTCAAATATTATATCGTAAGTTTCGGTCATAATTTTGGTCACATTATTTTTTAACTTCTGTTACATTGAAACTTTCGAGCATAGGCATTTTAGTAATATTTAAGTTTGATAATTGGTACTATGGTCTATCCATTTAGGTGATTAATTAAATGCAAACAATCTTGGCATGTCTTTTTATTCAAAAGTTGTACAAAAATTGTATGTAAAAAGGTTTACAATGAGGTAATTACCTAAATTGATGTTAACTTATAAATGAAATTTAAATAATCTTTGTACCTATGTTTTATATGACCACTTTTAAAAAAAAGCATGATTGTTTACCTTCAGGTAACCATCTAAAGTGATAGTCTAAAGTAATTGTTCTTACTAACTAGAACTCATTCATAAATATTCAAAGCCTAGATGTAGCCCTCTGATTCTTGTAGGAGTGTTTCCCTCATTTCATATCATTGATTGTGACTTAAGTACCTATTACAAGTCTATAAATTCTTAAACACATTCCTAGTTTTATAATTTCTTTTTTTTGTAGGTAGGTACTGCATATCTTTAGTATAGTCCTGTATTTATTTTTTCAGATATGAAAATATGGACAGATCCATTTGGAAGGAAGAAGCCAGAGCGGGAAAGTGATTAAATATCTTTGTAAATAGTATAATTAGGTATTATTAATTTATGGATAATAGAACCAAGTTGATGAATTGTTATTGCTTGTTTTATTTTCTTGATGATATCATCAGTCTTCTAATTTATCAAGGTACTAAGTAACTGGTTACTTTATTAACAGTAAAGAAAAAAAATGAATACCTTGTGAATTAGGTTTTGCCCAAGCATCATCAAACATTGTTGCACTATGAATTACTCTACCAATGAGATGAATTTCTTTTTCCCCATACCTACTAATCTATATATATTTAGTCGTGTTAGACAATCCACTTATAACTCAAAAATGGCTGAACCGATTTAGCTGAAAATTGGCAGGGAGGTTGTTTAAAGCCAGGAGAAGGACATAGGATAGGATAGTGTAGGTAGAGTAGGCTAAGTAAAGTAGAGTAGGGTAGGTAAAGTAGAGTAGGTAGTCAAATGACGGGAGCGACGCTGCGAGTAAGAGCTAATATTAAATAATTTTAATAATTTTCTTCAATAACTAGAACTTACTTGTTTACATAGTATTGAACTCTATGCTATTATTCAGAGTTTGTTATTGATAGATATATACCATACTAACATTCACATGAACTGGATTTTTAACAGGGAAAATCATCATACGACTTTCGCCCTGAGTGTGGCGAGAGGAGGTGTCGGGCTGTTACTAACTAAAAATCATTGTGTTCTTTCTTCTACTTCTGGCCGAATTAATACTGGGTTTACATTGGCATTCATGCGGTTTCATAGTTACCAGATCTATTCAAGAGCTTGGGTAGGTACCCTGAAGTTAGGTAATCAATGAGATCAGTGACATTGCCAGGAAAACCGGGAATAATAATAAGTAGAAGTATTCTACTAGTGACCAGTTCCGTTAATGTGAAGAGGTCTAGACACCGAAACCAACATTGTAGATCAACCAGTCTGCAGTATTCATCCAATCCAGATTCATTTAAACATGTTGCAATTTGTACAAAATAACGTCTTGACTGAAGACCTCGTTTAAAGGCCGATTAATCTATTGAAATTGCTGAACCAGCATTCAAACGAGGTATTAAAAGGCTCTCCGTTCAAGTTGCAGGTGCCAATGTTCGGCGCTAATCGCCTATGAACAACACCACATGCTTTCAATATTGATGCATACACGCATGTTTAAATTAAAAAGAACAAGAAAAAGTATGATTAGATGTCGGATAAGGATTCAAGGTATAAAACCTACATCTCACGAAGTAGAGGTAAACAAACAATGGTGAACCTATGATTATTTTATTAAAGGTAGAAGACTTATACTTACACTATACCAACACCACATAATGTTCGTAGAAGATTAAAGTAAAATAACCTTTATTACTAAGGTTACTAAGTACAAATGTACCGTTTAGCATTGTGTGCGTTATGCTATGTTACCATTGATACCAAGGCTTTATTAAAGGCGATCTCCTCAATATCAAAGTACACGTAAATCTCACACGTCCGGACGTCGTTCTGCGCTTTTTCCCCTGAAAAGATCAATAACATTTAATACTCGATGGAAAAAAATTAAAATGAAACGACGCAATTATATAAAAGAAAATTTTAATGTTAAAATTCCAAATAATTCTATTTGGGTAGACAACTAAGTGTACCCCTAAAGCTTTATACAAAACAGTGGAGTCCTTGTTTTTACAATTTCGTATAAAAAATAAATCATTATTCTGAAACTCCGTATATACAGTGACCGAAGGTGCTCATATCTGTTGTCCTAAATAATTATTACTAATGTGATTAAATAGTTTCTAAGCTGAGACAACTATACTCTGCTAATGTCAAGTACAAAAACTAATATGTGACTATTAGAAATATTTACATAATTATACATATAACTTTACAATTTTACATGAAGGCTTGCATAATGCTTTTAGTACAAGCTTCTGATTTACCTATACTTAAAATATTCTCTCAGTTCAAATATGTTAATTTAAAACAACAACGAATTTTTAATCTATAAGGGGATTAATTAGATAGTAAAACTATAAAAGAATGAATTTTAGGATCACACGACAAATTATGAGCAAATGCAAAAGGTACAATTTCAAATTGAGCGATAACAATGAAATTCAAGAAATAAAAAATGAAATTTAAATTGAAAAATAAAATTACGTTAAAAATGATTTTATATAACAACGATTATTTATAAGCATATAAAATACGACGCAATAAAACATGTACCTATTACAAATTCAGCTAAGTAATACAACGAGTCTCTTAATAAATTGTGAACACAAATGATCAGACCAAAAATATTCGCTAAATGGAACTAGTCCTGGGTAAATAACAGTTATCCAGTATAGGAAAACTTTGTTTACATATTAACTAATTGCCAGTAAGCTAACGTATTGTTTTATTGCTTTTCATGTAACTATGTATAACTAGGCTATTGAACAACAGCAAAATTTATTGCATTACAATAAAGAACAAATTGTAAAAAAATTCTTCACCTTAACAGAAAGATTTTCACAATCTCCTGTTCATTTTGCAACGATAGAGGTGGAAACATATTAAAGTCATATGCTATGAAACCGTTATATGCTCAATAAAGTGATTCATAGTTCGGCCAATCATAACCTGTATGATACCATAAACTGACCAATCAGCGAACGATACGTTACGCAGCATATCGTGGTGTTAAAAGTATGTTTCCGCCTGTATCTATGGACCGTATCCCACCTCCTTTTCACCCTCTACTATGAGCTCAGTGCTTTGTCTATTAATAAAACCAAACATAGACAATATGTAAATTAAAAAATATTATAAATGTATCTATGCCTGTATTCAAGCCTCTATTAAATATTTAGGGTAATCAAAACCTGTGTGGCTAATGATTTTAAATATGTGGGGACAAAATACCCCACTTTCTCATAAGAAAACGTACATGTTTCAATAAATATATTTGGAATGGGTTGAAAAACGACATTTATATATACCACAAAATAATATTAAAATACATATAAACATGATACACGCTTTTGATGTAATTTCACATCTATACATAAATAATTGTACATATAAAAAATCATTTAACTGACTCATTCATTTTGAACCTAAAAGTAAAAATGCAATTTAGTGCCCTTTGTCTTTTACCATCATATTTATTTCAAATGAACTAAAATTTGTTGACCAATGAAAGCCCTGGTACACTATTATTGTTATTTTTAATTAAAAACTATCATCATTAAAGATCGTGAACTGTCTCCAAAGATGCCATACTCCAAATACTTTTAAATCTTAAAACACGAATTACGAAATGTAATAAACATGGCAATATTTTTGTAGAATATGTTGCCAACATCAAAAATTCAAAATTGAAATTATAAAGACAGCATTTTTAAATAACTTTGGGTACAATTCACGGTCTTAAGACATAATAATATTTCGTTGAATATGTAATAACCCTAACAAGAAAACTAAATATATTGTGCCATATATATATAGGTGGCGCTCCTTTCAGTCAAACAAATATTACAGGAGGATTTATATGACTAATATCTAAGCCAATTTCATTACTAACAACAGTCTAAGAATTTTGAACTTTATCGTTCATGATTTAAGGTGCATTTAATAAGACTTGTTGCAAGGTTTAACAAAATAAACTCTAAACCTTGATTGTGATCACGGTGCAATAAATAATGAATTTTTGTTTTAGAACATAGAAATACAAAAAGAATATTTACAAAGAAATCGACAAAACTCATAAGTCAGCTTCAATGTTACTGAATTTTTTGCATGAAATCCTAAAACAAAAATTTAGTTTTAAATTTTAAAGCAGCACCACGAAGGTATTGCACGAATCAATGTTTTATCTGTTGCGCATTTTTGCATCTTTAGCGCAATTTAAGCGCAACATTGTAGATTTACGCAAACTTCAATCATTCGCAGCAAAGCTAAAGAATAAAATCAATAAACAGAAAAACTATATAAATTAATATTGCAGTAATGAAATCGGCGTAATTTACATAAAATTTACGTAAAATATAGTATTATTTATAATTTATAATAATAGAACTACTTAAAAAGCTGCAAAAGTGTGCAGTTCACACGGTATAGTTAAAACTTTATAATATAGTATTATCATTTTGTGAAAATATCACGAATTTCAAAGAAAGCTTTGTTTCATTAATGTTATTTATAATTATATTACTATATATAACATCACTTCACAGTTTTATCACTTATTATAGGCGTAAATAGAGTTTTGATTGTCAATTGTTTGTTTAAAAAAAACATCATTGGAGAATGTCGTCGTCGTCGCCCACCTTTAAAATAAAATAAAGGTTTTTAATAATATAGAATAATATTAAAACCATTATTTTAATAAAACATGTTTTCCTATGATCCTTGGTAGACATGTTTTATTAAAATCGACTGACCTAATTACTAGGTATTAGTAGGTATAGAGGTGAAAGTGGTGATGAGTGAATCTACATGTTGGTATGAACACTTCGGCTTCACTGATGGACGGATTTACGGACTATTGTTATGTTAATGTGTGTTGTTGTTCTATTTTTTGACGATTTAAAAATGCCTATACGTTTTCTAATTAAAATAAACGTTTTGTCGATTTCTAGGTTAGATTAACAGTGGGATGATTGTCAATAACAATCCTTATCAACAGCCTTAATTGCCCCATTACTAGCAAAGACCTCTTCTCACATAGAGAAGGTATACCATGATTCCTCTTCATATTTTTGTATAAGCTAAGAAACTAACGAAATTCTTCGAGAAAGTTACATTGGTACTGGTACCACGTTATATCACCACATATATTTGTGATGGAAAGTAGTCAAATATATCGAAGTACGGTGTTAAAAGAAAGTACATGACAATTTGATATGTTTTATCTTAATTGGTTAAGTCGTTTTATATGTATGAGGGTGAAAATGATGATGAATAATGGAATAAGTACTAAGTAAAATATTGAACCGATTTTGTGTTTATCATACGGTACAGATGCATTTGAATTACCACTTGAAGAGTATAAAAAAATCAAATCAAATCTTACAGTCTGATATAATAAATTGCATCAAAATCGGTTTAACAATTTCAGAGTAAAAACTGAACACATACGTTAGTAGGGATTATAAAGGAGATGATGACAAGAAGTCAAATATATTACTTTTTGCGAAATCAAAATTATGTAAAGTATACAAAAATAGCTATAATTATATCGATAAATTTAAACAGCATTTTTATAAACTTTAATATATTTATTAGGAGAAACAATATATTTTTGAACGAGTCATCATCCCTATTATTTTGTTTTCGCTTACTTTTGAGACAAACTAATTGTTAATGAGTAGTAGTTTATTGAAAACAGCGACATATTTACGTGATTACATTTCTTTAACCACTCGTAGCGACCAAAACCAAACATATGAAATCTGCTTATAAAAAAACTAAATGACCGCATCGCTCAGGGCACAGCCTGTAGGGTTCGAACCTCAGCTCAGCAGGGTTATTATGGGGGAAGAGGGGCAGCAAATTGAATTAGACTGGGTCATTGATCGTATTGAACTACTAGAAGAGGTTCTCCTAGTTTCAAGTCACAACAGAGGGCCTACCATGACGTGTTAAATAGTGAATCCTTCGGGCGAGAAAGAGGGATGGAGTTATACTGTATAGCTCTATCCCTCTCACGTCATGGTAGACCTACAGGACTTATTCATATGCGTCAGAGCTCAGTGTTCCGCCTTTCACAGTTGATTCACGTGAATAAGTCGTTATTTTCAGTAAATTTAGTATGTCTCATGAATGTTAGTATTCTAAAATAGATGATAGTGGTATTGTAACAAGTTAAATTTCAATAAAATTTTAATGTTTAAGGGCTGATTTTTCAATGGTTAGATAAAATTTATCTGGGAAATAATTATGATGTTGTCGCGTCAGAATGTTTGTATAAGACAGTGACAGCAACATTTATCCTCATTTATCAGGTAACATTTACCTGACTATTGAAAAATCAGCCCTAAATTAAATTCAAAAAATGATTATTGAAATTTATCTTATTTTAGAATTAGGCTATTAAAATGAAATCTACAAACATAACGAAGATCATAATTACCTGAAGAAACAGATCGAAGTCAGTACGATGACAGTTGCCCTCGGTAGCGAATGAAAACTTGTGGTAGGAGCCGTCTTCACATATCACTGGAAAATAACAAATATAAAACATTACATTACTTAAACATAAATGGTTTTCGACATTGGTGTAGCCAAAAATCGTATAATCATTAGCTTATAAATGCAAATGCCACTGCTACTATAAAAACTAGCTTCCGCCCGCGGCTACGTCTGCGTGTTATGTTGATAAAAAGTAGCCTATATCCTATTCCGGAGTGTGCCTATGCTTGTGCCAAATTTCATCCTGATCCGTCCAGACGTTTTAGCGTGATTGAGTAACGAACATCCAAACATCGTAACTTTCTGATTTATAATAAGTATTAGTAAGATAACTACTGACTCACATAAATAAACTGAGAAACGAAAGTAAGTCGTTATCTATGCTTTAATACTATAAAGCTGCAGAGTTTCTAAGTTTGAACGCGCTAATCACCGAAATAACTGGTTGGAATTGAACAATTCGTTTTGTGTTAGATAGTCCATTTATCGAGGAAGGTTATAGGCTATAAAACATCCAGCTATGACCTGTAGGAGTCGAGCAGCGAGTGAAACCGCTTGTTAGCAGCTAGTTTTTAATAAATTACTTTTCACTTTCGGAGACACGGCAGTGCTGAGCCCAGCAGAAACTAACCTAAGATATAAATATTTATTGATCAAAATATTCAGTTTAGAAACATTTACTAAAATACTAGTCTCTGCCCTAGTCAGCTAGTTAGGCGAAACTCATCTGTAGGTACTCAAGCATAAGGTAGTAATTAATTTGTATTCTTACAAAATAGATAGATGAGTATTGAAATCGTTATATGTCATAAAGATAACAGTGAAAAGGGTTGAGTCACGCGATTATGTTTGTGTTTACATCACTTTTACTTGTCATCCGATGTTGTATGATCATCATGTTATGTTATGTGTGCGACTAGCTGTGCCCTGCGGTTTCACACGCGTTGTTTATAGCCTATGTTGACCGGGTATAGTGTAGTTACCCAACAGTAAAATATTTTTTCAGTTCGGTCAAGTAGTTTAGTATATCCAATTAGACAAATCAACAATCAAACCTTTTGGACACAAAGATTATTACATATTACAGAAGATATTACATCTATCTATCTATCTGTGAATTTTGCATGAGATTCACTCATGCAAAATTCACAGAGATCTATCATTTCCGACATTTTGAAAAAACATATAATTTTTGATATTTCCCCATTTAGTTTTTTGGAGTAAATCTAATGGTCAATCCCATATACTGTACAAGAAATTGCAGGATAATAAGCAAAATTTAGAATCATGTTAAGGAAAATATTTATTAATTTTAAGCTTTATATACATGTACACAGACACTAAATTTCAATATTCAAAATTTTCGACGCAAACGTAGCCAAAACATCTATGTCAACACCCTAATAAGTGATGATACGAAAGTTACACTCAGATGCAAGTGAAAAATATCTCTTAAAGTTAACAAAATAAGGCATATTTTACGGTGTATACTTACTGACGGCGTTCCTATCATCGATAAAGGCGCATTGTGCTCGTGTGTCTGGGAATGCTTTGGCGGCGGCGAGACGAGTCCAAGCTCCTCGCGCACTCCATATATGCATAGTTCCCTTATCCGACACACAGCATATTAACGAGCCCGTAGCGTTGAAGTTTATACTGTAAACATTGGAAAATAGCACTTATTATAAACGACTATAAGTAGAAAATTATTTAATGACCCAGCTTTTCTTGCAGATTTCGTAATAGCCGTCTGAGGGAGTATAAATATCTATCTAGTGATCTATATTTATTATTTATTTTCTTATAACAAAAATCTTTTCCAAAAGAAACTTTTTGGATACCAATGTTCAAAGTCCGCACTCCCGCCGTGCGTCGTTCGATTTTTTAATGATTTATTTGGCTAAACAATGTTTGCCGTGTAAGCCAGTATTTTATTTAACAAAACGTTGCCCCACATTCGAATTTTCTCCTGTATCGTGGGTGCATTTTCAAATATACAAATTCACAAACACAAACCACCCAGACCCGAAACAACAATTAGTGGATCACACACTGTTCATGTGATGTTCCTAGAGAACGTTGCACAGCAGCCAGTTGCCTAGCCACGACACCAAAAGTGCAACTTATTGTTGTATTTATATTATAAATAAACAATTACTTAATACCAATAAATGTATTGTATTGTATTGCATATAGATTTTCATTTTACATAGGTAACTCTTAGCAACTAAAATCTTACCAGAAAACATCGGCATAGTCGGAGCCTCGTCGCAGTTCATGCAGCATGGTCTTAGATCCAGTGTCGAAGACACGTATGATGGTGCCTCGTTCGGACGCAGTGGCCAGTCGTGTCCCATTAGGGGATAAACTTAGACAGACCAAGTCATTTTGGTGGCAACCCATCACAGCCGGCGTCGAGGATTGGGCACCTTTTACTACTCGCGACACATCCTAAAATTGAAGATGGTTTTGGTTAGAGTAAAGAGTAGGAACTATGCTTCGGTACAAATGTCAGTAAACCGAAAACTGGCATCCAACAGCGCTTATTTTGTGTTTTGTGGAGTAAGAAAGGTTTTAGAAGACCTAGTCCCTTCCCTTCTCAAAACTCAAATCCCTAATAACTCCCAAAAGGGTGGTGATCCTTGGGTGGCGCGGATGTCCTTGACTTAGATCTGTAGGGTCGTTTGTTGTCTTAGACAGCTTTTTGTTATTGAGAGCGTGAGCTATTTTCATTTCACTGAGCAAACAGCACCAGATCTCACTCTTTATGCTGTTACTAGGATTTATGTTGGGAATGTTCTAATTTGTAGTTTCTGTGTACAATAAACTTATATGTACGAACTAGCTTTCCTTCCGTCGTTTGCTTAGGTACGTTGCGAAAACCACAATATTATACATCTAAACTTTACATCACCATTGGTGAAATCATTTCGCAATTCCATCTCATACTTTTGGAGATTAGGCCATTGGTATATGCATAGAGATAGAGACAAACAGGGGTTTCTTTTTTAAATATGTAGGTAAGGGTGTTGTACTTACGACTAACTGCACGGATCCTTTGCGGTGTGCTGGCGCTGCTAAGAGTTGTGGGACCGATTGGTCGGTGGCTATCGTGCATAGCGGACGGCAGCCAGTCGGTATCCGCATCAACGCCACACGATTAAGCGTCGGTATCGCTAGCACCTGCACGGTGGAATTCAGCACCAATGCCACTCTGAAGAACGATGATAGGTCTTTTAGTATAATATAGAACAGGAAATTCTGTAGATCCAACAACATGAGAGCTAAGGAAAGTTTCCTTTGTAGGAAATAACCTTAGGTTTTTTTCCAGAAATAGACGTAAAGAAGATATACATATATTCAATAGTGCCTACATTTTTGATTCCTAATGATTTCAATATTAGTCTAAGATGATTGCGCTTGACCATTTACCATTATTAAACAAGAAATTCAATTGCTGTTCCTAATGCAGTCCCGCGAGAATTGTAATTGGCTTAATCAACAATAAGGTCTTCCAATGTCCCATTGCGATATCGAAGCGAAACAATTATTACTTAGAATTCCTAAAAGTAATACTAAAGTCTCTTCATTTATTAATTGTACAAATAGAAAATTGCGTCATATAAATGAGAATACCGCGCAAAACTGACATTAGCCACGCGCGTTTGTAATGAACTTTATAATTACAAAGTTATTTATGAATCAAAGTAATTAAAGACTAGATGACTAGTGTCATCGTTGGCAAAGTTGATTGTACTCATTTCCAATGTCTAATGACTAAGCTGAACAAAGAGACTTTCAGAGTAGGTACTCATTTATTATATTTGTTGGTTAAAACCCTTCTGGTAAAGCTAAGAGCCCGACATGTATCCTGTATAGACCAACATGTAAGAGTCCTGTATCAGTAAGCAACATGTACAGTCAGGGGTCAAAAATCAAGGGACGATCTTCGGCCACCGTAAGCACGGATCTGCGGTCGGCGAGTAAGGGCAGCTCGCCGCCCGACCAGAACCAGGCTTGAGCGTACGGCGCGTAGTGTTCCGCGGGCGCCTCAAAGAGCCAATACACCACCACAGACGGGGCCCTAAAGGGCTGATGTTCAGTCGGGGTTGCGGAGTAAGCGCAATGAGGCACCGCGACCTCGGCCCAGAGCAGGAGAAGGAACAGGGGGGTTTTTAGTCAGTATAAGAGTCTGACACTAAGGCCCTGGGCGGGAGACGTAATTGGATGATTTTCCCCTCACAAAAAAGGGGTCAAAAATGCAATTACACTCTACCAACTTTAAAATGACTAATTCAATAATTTAGATTCTATGTATAAATTAAAGCAGTCCTCAACCATTGACTCTATTCTACAAAGATATTTTGGTCATTTTAAAATTGGTAGGGCGCAATTGCATTTTTGACCCCTGACTGTACATGTAAGAGTCTTCCAGACTTCAAAGACAGAGTGCAAATTTGTCTCTAGAACTCATGAAGTTAAAAAAAAATGCGGCCATAAAGGAAGTGCGACGATTAGAGAATATTCCGTGCCCTGACATCTTAACAACGGCCGAAAATGGTCTCTTAGATTTAATTTTGCACTAAGTCCCTAGGTTGTCTTCCCTATTTTAGGGATGTCCTGTGCGGGCGCATGTCTTGTCCTTCAGAGCAAGCCAAGAGGACCCGATGCCTGAGAGCGGTGAGCGGTAATTTAAGTAAGATAAGAATTCCACACTACCTAATCTTTCACCCGAAAAAGCTAAGTGCCTAACGAATGATTCCCCGGTAATAAAAACAAATGCTTTCTTTTCATATCTCGTCACGTTTAGGAGGTTACCTTCGCCGTCAACCACAATATTCTGACCTGGATACCAGAAGTATATAATTCGTAAACACAGGCGCAGTGCTTTAATGCTATTTCGCAATGAAGGGATACACAAGTAAAAGGGCATGCACTCGATAGTGCATTCGTACTGCCGACACGTTTTAGAACTACCTAGTAAAACGTTTCGAAACAGCGTAGTTATTTCCTCCCGAATCGTATTTTTATTAACTTAAGCATACTTAAGTAAGAAAAAACTTTTTAGTACCTACATGAAAACATTAAAAGGTGAATGAACTACATCACCACTAAAGACGATTTGCAGCAAAAACTGAATCGTTTTGTTTACACATATAAAACGTCCATCATACTTAGGGCTGATTTTTCAATGGTTAGACAAAAATTACCTGGGGAATAAATATGTTGCTGTCGCATCAGAATGTTTGCATAAGACAGTGACAGCAACAATTTTGTTCCTCAGATAACATTTAGCTGACTATTGAAAAATCAGCCCTTAATCAATCATAAAGATATTACTTTAATGATATATTTATTGCAATGATATAAGACACAATAGCGTCAGTCTTTTATAATTTATTAGGTTATTCGGTGAAGGTTGCCCTTATCTTATCGTTTTAAAGTCGACATATTATACTACGTTTGTTTATGTCTAGCCAGTACTGTTGGTCACGTTTTGCGTTTTTATATTTCCCATTTTATGCGTCGTTCGTGCGAATGTAATGTTACAAGTATGAAAAATTTATTTAATTTTATTTTCGTATCTTTGTTTAGTGTGAATGACTGATTTTACTAACAATTCGAAGAATGAAAGATTCCTTGGATATCAGTATTAAATATTCCGCGTAAAATAAGCAAATAGGTACTTGACCTTCTTTTAAACGTGTTTGTGTACTTAGGTACTTTTACATTTAGTTTGTTTGTTATTGAGTCAAAGTTTTTATGATACTCAATTTATTATTGTTGTAAGGCTTGCTTAGTACAATAAAAATATTCAAAGAATCATAGAATGGTTCAGATTTAACAATCGTGTTACTTTAGTCAGATTTATGCTAAAAAGGGCCCTTTTAACAAAGGTATAAAGAGTTTTAACCATTTACAAATAGATGGCGGTATTTTAAACAATGGTAGGTACTAAATGCAAAAAACTGTAAGCCTACCTGCAGCTTGTCTTTGTATTACAACTGACTACAACGTTCAGTAACTGTCCTTTGGTCTTTCCCAAAACCATTAATTTTTCAAAAGATTTACAACTTTATCACTTTTTCATAAAGGCCAAAGTCTTAGTATGGAGCAGTGTTATGGACTGTGGAAAGATTGTTCGTGTTTTTTTTGTTTGCATAAGGGACAATATGCAAACAATAAATGACGATTCAATCGTACCGTGTTCCATTGTAACTCTTACATAATCTCGTTGAATATATTTGAACTAAAAAAAGATTTAAGAGTATCCGAACACCGCATATTAGTTTAGAACGCCATATATTGGCATACTTACATTTAATTTATGTTGAGTTAATTGCTATGTTCGTAACGGCTCTAACTCAAGAAACTTCCTAACTAACCCTTCTCCTCATATCATCTCTCATTCCCTAATCCCAAAATCCCTAAAACCTCTTGTCCCCAGACTTCTTATCCTCAAAGCCCCTTATCCCCGAATAGGTAAGTGATTATGCCCGTTAGACAAAAATCAATTGAATATGGTTTACAAAAGTTATAATATAAAAACATTGACTTACTTATCTCTCCTCGCTTTGATTGCTCTGATCGGTGCCTTGAAGAACACCTCGGCTATGAAGCCACGTTCTTGATCATCGAGGATCATAAGACTGCATGGGCGGCGAGCTGTCACGACTAGCAGCCAGCTTGTGCGGTGTAACATCTCGCACAGTACCACCTCGCCAATATCCTCCTTGGCTGGAGTAAAAAAGAAAATAAATTTAGATATACATCTGGAAACATTATATAATAAGTCACAGAATAATTCTAGCTAAGTTCTGGCTAAGATGTTCCATTCTATATAACCCTCAAACCAAGTACGATCCGAAACAACGAAACAATTCGCCATTTGTTATTATTATCATTTATTATTACATAGGGAGCAACCCTTTTGGTAAATGGGATTGGGCCCGGTGTTAAGTGAAAGGTTTTTGCAATTTCTTCTTTACATTGAACACCATCCCTACGATATTATTCCAAAATTTCGAATATTAGACAAAGGATTTTTAAGTCTTAAATTAAAAACTTAGTTTAATGTTGTATCTCAAAATTCTTGCATCGTCCGACAGTAGATAATGTAGGGTTTTTACCATCTAGGTTTGCAGAGACAAACTATAACAGTTATGGTAAAATACTCAATCAAAAGTGTTCCGTCTTCAATGCTTATAAATTTGATTTTATAAATCTCTTAACTCTTAACTTATATTACAAATGCAAATTAATATGTGGATATTTGTTCCTTATTCAAGCAAAAAAAAATACCATTAAAACGATCTGGATAGAATTTGGCACGACACTATATTTATAGTATGGATGGAATAACACATGGGCTTTTTATCCGGTTATCGCGGAACGAAGCATATAACAGAAGCTAGTTATTCATATTCCATTTGTGCGACATATACGGAACAATAAGTGCGCCCGCCTGCCGACTGCGGAACAAAGGTATCACAAGAAACAATCTTGACCTTACAAATTCGTCTACAAACTGCGAATACCTAATGAACTTCACAAATTCGAGATCACTGTTAGTCTTAGAACATAAAATGAGGCCTCATTAACATTTAAGTGCAATCACGTGACTGTCAGGTTTTTGTTGACGAAAATTCGAGTAATGACTCATAACTAATTGAATGACATGAATCATACTATATGTGCTTATGGTAGGAAGGGAATGTAGAATTTAGCAACAATACGACCATTTCTGTTTTACTTAACTTTTTGTAGACAAGGAGTAATTTTGAATACACATTTTGGCAGCTTAACTTTCATCAGTTTTGCGATTTCAACAGTATATTGTTATGGGAATTAAAAGTTTATTAACAAACAAAAATTCATTAGGATTTTGTATATGGATTCGCTACTTTTTCTGGTCTAATTTATCTCGTAAACTGCCAAAACAATCAATGATGTTAATTTTTTAAGGGTCAGTCAGGCATCAGTTTTTTGGAATCCTCTGGATTGAAAAGCGTCACAACATAGTTACTTAGTCATTTTGCATTTGAAAAAACTACCGGTATGTATAAGATCCAATAAATATCAGTAGTCTTAGAATAGTAGTCTCAAAATGCTTATAAGTAAAATTCCGATTTCTATCCCAAAGATACATTTTTATGAATACTTGAAGCCAAGTTTATTTCACCGTACTTCGTTTCGCAACAACTTTAACTTTTCGTCAGGAGTTCAATGTCCTAAGGGCTGAGAAAGGCAATGAACCTTACATTAGAAAATGTCTAGTAAATGCTGCCTTTGCATTTGTGCAACTTGGACAAACTTGTTTGTATGTTCAGATGAACTTTAGCAAAGAGGTATTAATTAACTGTGATCGTTTACAAAATCACTGACAACAGTTTGACGACGTGTCAACCTGGGAAGACTATTGAAGCTTTTGAAGATAGGATGACAACCATTACAGTGCATTATCAAGGACCTTACGGGGAAGGATTTCGTGGTTGACAATGTTACAGGCTACATTTTACCCCGGAAAATTATACACAGTCTTTTTTTTTTTTTTTTGTCAGGGGAAAATCATCCAATGACTTCTCCCGCCCAGGGTAAGGCGAGAGAGAGTGTCAGACTCTTACTGACTAAAAACCCCCCCGTTCCTTCTCCTGCTCTGGGCCGAGGTCGCGGTGCCTCATTGCGCTTACCCCGCAGCCCCGGCTAAACATCAGCCCTTTAGGGCCCCGACTGTGGTGGTCTATTGGCTCTTTGAGGCGCGCGCGGAACGCTACGCGCCGTACGCTCGGGTCCGGTTCTGGTCGGGCGGCGAGCTACCCTTACTCGCCGTCCGCAGACCCGCGCTTACGGTGGCCGGAGATCATCAAATTATACACAGTCTGCAGAATAAATGTTTAAGAAGAATGCACAAGTTTGGACTTGTTAAAACAACCGGTTTTACTTAGTAAACGGTGGGTGACTCATTTGTGTTGCTCGAGATTGATTAGGTACTTGCTTACATGCGGATGGAAAACATAACTATACCTAAGTGCCTTCACACGTAATCCGTATATAAATTCTTGAAATGTACCTATGCAATGTTTATGGTTACTGTTATTGGTTAAGAGGCAACAGAAATTAAGCTTTAAGTCTATCGCGTTAAATTAGTAATTGGGACGAGAATAAAATGAACAAAAGTGCCCTTTTTCAGTAGTCTAGATCTGAGTAAACCATCCATGATCTTGAATGTTTAGCTACGAAAGTAATCGAATACTCCAAATCCTGTACAGAAGGGATACCGTGGTTTTCGATCAATAACTGTCTAATAACCCCAGTGATCGTTCCTTTGGCGAAGGGACACTATGTCGATGCATGTATGAACAAAGTTGCTACAGTTAGTTAATGAATGTATGTCTAGTTTTAATAAAAAATATCGATCGCTTAAGCAGACTAATGAATTAATAACAGATTTCCAAAACATGTTGTGACATTTCAAAGCCAATCGTGGTCATTGAAAACGTATAAATCATTTGGACTACATTCAGAATAGTATAAGATTTCAATCGAAGATTGCCAGAACAAACTAAATATAGAAGTTCATTCACTCTTACAACGTATTGCAGAGTTTGAATGATCGAATACTGGCAGGCTAAAACATCAATTGGCCTTTGGATGGCGTATTTTTTCTAGCCCATTCCTAAGAGATGCACGAGCTCTAGTTTTTTTTTTACCAAAAACAAAATATTTCTTTTTCAAGCAGCTACAGAGATGGTTTGTAAGGGTATCTTCAGCGAAATGCCCATTTCCAAAAAAAAATGGTTTTGTACCTGGTCAAGCAAAAAAGAAATGGTCCAAGGAAGGTCCATTGTGTAGGTACAAAAAATATTGTTCTATTCCTTCAGAGCCTCCGTCCATTTTAAGTTGCTAATTATTATTATTATTACCCAACATGTGCTGATGGCAGATGGCAACGTATTTTACGCTTTGTTATTGGTTGCTAGCAAGGGATACCGACAAAAAGCCAATAGGGCAATGACAATTACTTTTGGCTATGGATGCGAGGATTTGGGAGTTCGTATAATGGACAATTTCAACAGCATGGTATTTATCTTTGTAAGCATTTACAACGAATGGGAATCCTTTGTTTCAGTCGAAAATCGAGAATGTTGTTTAAATGGAAACGTTAGGAAGTATAGAAAGGACCAAAATTTTGGGTCAGTGGGTAGCCTTCGGGCGGAGTTTTGATCGAATAATAAAGTACATCTATTAAGATCTCTCATTGTATATAATGCAAATGCAGTCATTCTATGTGGCGGCATATGTATTATCGAAGTCGATTATCAGTAATTTTATGCCACGAAAACATACATCTATTTACCAATACATTTAACTCTATTATGGTAATTATTCGAATTCCTGTCTAAGCAAATGATTGTCAAATCCCAAGTTTTGTCGTCACCTACACGTCTACATATTATAGGGTACTATAATATATCTTAAAAGTTCACAAATGTCAATACATGTAAATCATTTGCGTCGGACGATCTGCGAATTTAAATTGCTAATTTTTATTGTGTACAAACTCATTCAGTTTGTTCATATTCAACTTAGGTACTTTAATTACGTAGGTACTAAATATTTTACGTTTTAATTTTTAATCTGTGTAATGTAGCAAAAATTTATATACTTTTTAATTTGTATTACAAACTTCATGGTCATTATTTGAATAGAAATTTGTCCATATTTCTCTGTGTATGCACTTGTGCATATCTATTTAAACATCTTAATTAAATAACAATTAGCATAAATAACAGTTGTTCTAAGAAACCAGTTATGCTAATATTTTCTTATTAATTATAACAGTTATTATTTGTAATTAATGTTATTTTAATTTGAAGTTTGTTTATGTAAAAGCAATCAATCAAATAAATTCTTTATAATGTAACAGTATAAGGCATATAATATTTCTTTTAAGTAAGAGTAAATAAAATATTGTCTACAGCATAAATCTTTTTTTTTTTTAAACAGACAAAAAGTTACAAGACTTTACTAACAGACATACATAATTATGATAGTAAGTACTAAGTGACTAACAACAAGAAACCATCAGATAATTAAGAAAAAAAAAATAATTAAGTAGCCCTCTTTTATTTACAATTAAACCAGCTTCAGTATCACTAGAAATACGAACTTCATACTTCCTACTATCTGGTCTAATTTTATCGGTAAAACAATGACAACACTAATAGAACTTGCCGTTATCAAAATAATACATTACAACCTCTGTCATTGTTGAGCTAATTATAAATAAATAGTAATTACTTATCATTTAATTTTAAAAGTCTGACTATTTCATCAGTTCCGTTGTGATTTTAATATTCCCAGAGATAATGAGTTAGACCAAATAATATTAAATTTAAGTTACTTCGAAAATTTATTGCGGCTTAATTTGTACTTGGTGTATTTAAGTACCTAAGACTTATAATGAAGTTGGGAAGAAATAAATATCCTTATTAATTATGGTATTGTTTTGGAAATATTAGACGAAGTCAATACTTACTGTAGTGGGTTTTTTCAACAAGGGGTTCCACATTGTAGATTCGCAAACCGTTCTTATGGCAGCACGCGAAGCAGCCTACAAAGTAACAAAATAATTAGTCTAAAACAAATGCTTGTGACTAACACAGGAATTAATTAATAGCACAAAGAACTACTTTATCTATTAAGACATTTTGAATAATAATCATGTGTCTGCTATTTATTGTACTGTAATAAAATGTAACAATCTATGTGTCCGCTACAATGGCTACATTGTACTTAACAAATTAATTATTTCTATGCAAATTTATTCAAAGTATATAGTTTTAATACTTTCAATAAACTATTTGAGTGTACTGGACAGCAGGCAAATTGTTAGACACCAGACATTATCAACATCAACACCATGCAAAACAAATAACAGCTGTTTATCAAAACAACTCAAAAGTCGTAATCATAACAACGACGTATATTTGGAAATCAATGGAAATTACGTTTCAAATTACATTATACGCACACAGGTACGAGGGCAAACAAAACCAACGCCCAAACAATAGCGAGCGAACTCGCGAAGAATGGAAACTGCGCGTGGGCGCGCTCCTAAAAATATAAACAACACGTGGAGCGCCAAGCTACGCGCATCGAGAGCGTGGCGAGGAAAGCACAGCGCAATGCCTACGTCGTACCACGCTCCACGCGCATTTTAATGCCATGCAACTGCACGTCCCAAAACACAGCTCATCCTAAACATGAATAATACTAACTCCACCTGAGAACAAAGAACTCAGGTTGACGAACTAGGAAGTTACACAAACCTTGGTCCTGGTTAAACGCCAGGCTGGTGATGCCGCTGCTCCTCCGGTGCGCCATGTCTTTTCCACAAATTTATCATAAACATTTAGCAGATTTTTTATCAGAAGTCTCTGTGGACATTTTCACACCAAAAATTTTAATACGCACATTTATTGTGTTACATGTTCTCTGTGTGTGATACACAGCTGATTTGATGACGGCTGACAGAAAAACAATAATGTTGACACCAGTAAACTAGAAGTTTAGTATAATGTTGCCATACTAAGAAAAAAACTACCCAGTTGTTCTCGTATACAATTGAAATCGTAGTTTCTTTATGACGATGATACATTTACGAATTTATTAAAAATGAAATAAAAATATTATTTACCCATAAATATCATGGATATTCAACCTAATTTGAGATATAAAATAAAACATATGTCACTGGTAGAAATAAAACTACCAATTGTAGTAAAGTATTCTGATATGGTAGTTTCTTTGTTTATGTACAAATTATTCGGACTTTTAATAAAAAAACCTATAATCGAGGCAGTCCCGTTGTAGAATTTATTTAATAATGTTTTAATTGTTTAAGTACATCGTTCATTTTATTAAAAATATTTTGCAAATAATTCATAGACATTTTTTAATCAAGAAAATACTTTTATTTTTCGAGATATTGACGAACACTGTCTGCATTTTGGTCAGCTACCAATCGAAGAAAAAAAACTTAAAACTTCAAAAATGTTTTTATCTTCCCTCATTGAAGAAATTCTCGTACAACTTAAATTTTTGGCATCAAAAGCAATTCTAAATTATGTAGGGTGTCAACTGGCTAAAATAGTAATAATAAATCTCAAAAACATTAACGTTATAAGTTGAGGTAAGTAGTTTTGGTAATGACAGGTTGTTGTTTGATATACTTATCTCGTATTTGTAGATTGTAATTGTAAGAGAAACCAACGGAAAATGCATATTTTCAGATAACCTAATAAAATGGATTTTAAAACGACAGTATCAAATGATTACCAGTGGCCGTTTTCCAAACCTGTGATTGGCAAGTACGTGTCTTATTTTTGTACAGCGCCTTACAATAATTTGATGGCAATCGTTTTCATAAAGTAGTCAAATAGCTATCCCTTTAGTATTAGGAGTTACAAAAGTATCAAAAATGAATTTAAATTCTTACACCGTTATCTATAAATGGTTAATGACATTGTCACTAAGTTTTTGTTATTATTTCATTTATTAGTAGGCACAACATTGGGCTGATTGTGGTTTTTTGTCAGTCTTTACCTCAGTTCAGCCTTGCGATCACATTTCGATTTTAAAACCACATTTGGCGTACTACAAATATAGAGAAATTGATATTGAAGTATTATGTTTTCTGGTGTGTAAATTGGATTTATAACCGACATAACAGCATCGGCAACATTCTTAAATAAATAAATATGTTAATTTAGGATACCTTACCACGATCCAAATTGTTAGTATCTCTTATAATAATTTAAAACTAGTATTAGTGATATAGGTAACTTCGCCCCCTGCCTGACCCACTATTCGAGGTGTACTCATAAAGTCATAAATAAACCTGTATTAGGTTTATTTATGACTATTGCAAACTGTTTACTTTGCTATTGTATCCCGCCTGTCCAACGTGGTGATTATCTATGGTGACTTCTTGATAATCTAGAAACGGCACGTAGTCCAGTAGTAGGACGTCGATGTAAAGGACAACGAATTTTAGAATTTCAATACTCAACACTTAACCAACACTTATTATAAAACAAGAATTATCTTTAGTCTAGGTTTAGGAACTGATTTAAAAAGAGCACCTATCCATGGAGTTTCTTGTTCGTTCTTCTCCATCGGAATCTACACTTTGGAACGAGCAAATAGCTTCACTAAGAGGACTAGAGGACTGACCGACAGACTGACTACTTCAAAATTTTCTTTGACGTTCAAAAGTACCTGTGAGGGTCTAATTGGAATAAATGATTTTTGATATTGTCTCTTGACCATTGAGTCAAATTTTGAATTTTGAATCTTATTCTCGCCTACCTTCAATTCGAAATACAAGAACTGACAAAATATGTAGTTGGGACCTTGTTTAACGGCCGCATAATTATTACGTTTGTTGCTTTCGAATGTTTACAAGTGGCACTAATATACATTTCTTTTACACATTTTGATTGACGGACTGGTACAAATTAGTTTCGTATTTGCCATACGAAATATTTTTATGTTCTACTTACTCTTGTATTCCGCTACTTTTCTTGGTATTTAGATAAAGGGTGCTCATGGGTTAATCCTGGATATAATCCAAGTCCAGCTGTCTCTTCTCACGAACTTTCACATTTATAATAATTATTAGTAAGATGTCAAAATATTCGAGCGAAAAGAAAATTTCACCAATAAAAACTCTACTTAAGTACCTAAACAATAAACTGTTTGGCCTTCTGTCAGTGCTGTATAATTACAAATCTATTTCCAATAAATCCATACACCTAGTTAATATATGACAATGCATTGATGGTAATTTTATGAAATGATGGCAAATTATTAGTGACAGTCTTTTGTTCCCACTGTTGTAAATTATGGATATTCTATGATGCATATAGGTATAGACGTACTCGAAGTTGAAAGGTATAAGTAGCCATTTGGCATTTGCAGAAGTACCTAATTATTACTTAATTTGAACTCTTTGACTATGCATGGTTAAAGTTGAAAATCTTTTGTTTGTAAGGGTAGCTTGTTGTGTGGTGTCTAGAGCTCAGTGTGACAGACCTTGGCAATAGTACTGCATTGCGCAGGTATATTAGTTACATGTATATTTACTTATCAATGTAATCGTGACCAGTAAAAGATACGTGAAATATATATTTTCACACGTATTACAACGATATTGTTCCATTTGTTAGTAAAAATGCCTTGACCATGAAATTACATATATAACACACATACTAATATTTACTCCACTTACACACACATAAAGGTCGCACCTACTTTGATCCTTACGCCTACCATAATTTCAATCATTTTTTTAAAGAGTTTCTTGCTCGTTCTTCTAAATTCGAAGTCATGCTCGTTCCAAAGTGCAGAACTTTGGAACAACCGTCTGTCTTCAATGATGGACTATGTTATACTTGACGTTTCAAAAGTAGGTACTGGTTTACGGTTTAGTTGGAATAAATGATTTTGAATTTAAATTTTAACTTTAAGTGTGGGAGAGCCATGCTTCGGCACGAATGGGTCGGCTCAACCGGAGTGATACCACGGCCTCACAGAAAACCGGCGTGAAATAACCACTGCGTTGTGTTTCGCCGTGTGAGTGAGGTTACCGGAGGCCCAATCCTTCCCATTCCCCAATCCCTCCTCAATCCCTAAATCTCCAAATCCCTAATCTCTTAAAGGTCGGCAACGCACTGCTAACTCCTCCGTTGCGAGTGTCCATGGGCGGCGCTGATTGCTTACCATCAGGTAATCCGTCTGCTCGTTTGCCGACCTATTACATATAAAAAAAAAGACGTCGACTCCATAAGATCGCTCACATGCATGCAACTGGTAACACAAACGGGTTGCATAAACAATATTCACAACTCAAAACGTATGTATTAATATAATATTTATTCCTGGTCTCCAGACCATGCGAACCGCCCAGTCCAGACGCGGCACCGATCGTCCGGCCCGCTCCGGTGGCTCCTTACTGCCACTGCGATGCACACTCCTATTCACCTCGAGTGGAGCAGTACAAACAACTCTTGGAAAAAGAACAAAAGCTATGCCAAGACTATGAGCAACTGCGGAAACAGGTATTGTGGAGGAATCGTGATTGGTCATACTTATACTTAGTTTAGTTGTAGTTCTACGTAGACAGTCATAGTTTCTAGTTAAAGTATTGTGTGTTGCCGCGATGCAGTGGCGGATTTAAAAATTTGCCGCTAGTAGATCAGGAGAAGGAACGGGGCGGTTTTTAGTCAGTAAGAGTCTGACACTCTCTCTCGCCTTCCCTGGGCTGGAGAGGTTATTATGATGATTTTCCCCTGACAAAAAAAAAGGGATTGGGCCACCGTCGTAGTCGGCTATTGTGTTATGACGTAGCTTCGTAGTCTGCCGTAGTCGTTGATCACACCAATGCGAAACGTCATAGTCTAAAGTAGGCATTCAACGTAGCAAGAAGTTGTAGGGATTTATCGTAGCATGGCGTAACATCGAAGTCGGCCGTAGCAATTTATTAAAATATGGTGTAGCGCAGTAGTCTGACGTAGCTATTCATCGTAGTATAATGTAGCATCGTAGTGTGACGTAGTGATTTGTCGTAGGAGCGGCGTAGTCTAACGTAGACATTCTTTGTAGTGTAGCGTAGCATATCGTAGTCTTAGATCGCTATTATACCATTGACTTTAATAAATAAGCTTACTGCAAAATATATAATTATTATGATGACTGCACGGTTGGCGCGGTGGCTGGGCAACCGGCTGCCGTGCAGTTCGATTCGTTGTATGTCGCGGGTTCGATTCCCGCACGGAACTACACGTTGTGAGATCCACAAATTGTTGTTTCGGGTCTGGGTGTCATGTGTATGTGAAATTGTATGTTTGTAAACGCACCCACGACACAGGAGAAAATCCTAGTGTGGGGCAACGTTTAAAAAAAAATAATACGTGTAAGACGTATACATTTTGTTATTATAATGGAGTAAGTTTATAATTGTTTCACAGCCAGAATGTTCTTTACGATAATAGGTCTTATTACCTTACGCTCTGGTCTGAAAATAAAACAGAGTAGGCTCGTCAACGAATTGTCGTTTTAATTTTGTTCGTTTGCGAAGTTTCGTGATACCACGCGGCTGTAGCTACGTAATATGATAATGAAGTTGCAAAATATTTTCTAGATGGTGGATGTCACCAACGACATACTGGACCATCCGTGTGATGACCTGGATGGTAAAATGATGACAATGTATCAGGCAACATTCACCAAAAGATGTGAGTATGATGCAAAGCTATCAAAGTTTAATAAAACAATGACTATGAAAACTAGCAGCCCACCATCGCTTCAAGCGGTTATCCAATTATTTTCAAACTAGCTCTTTCTCGAACTTCCCTGTAAATATCTAAAATAATATTTAATAAAACTTTTTTTGTGACAATATCAAACACAAGTAATAAATGTAACCATTGGTCCAGGCGTTTTTGAGTTATGAGTTAACCAACACATTTTGCTATTCATCCAAACTTCAAAAATAAATGCGAAAGTAACTCTGTCTGTCTGTCTGTCTTTCCTTCACGCCTAAACTACTGAACCTATTTGTGGCAATTTTGGTGCAGAGATAGTTTCGAACTCGAGAAAGGACATAGGATAGTTTTTAAACCAAAAAAACTGCAGGAAGTCACTATTCCACGCGAACAAAGTCGCGGGGGAAAGCTAGTTTTTTTTAATAGTAGCTAGTTTATATAAAAATGCTTCTGTGCGATGAGACATAAATGATTATATTTACTTGTATGTCATCACACAATTATTGTTCAAGGAAAGTTATCATTTGGTCCAATTTAATTTGTGCGTCGGGCACAACATATTTATTGTGGCTGACTCGTACAATAATGACTGGGTCAGTCACGTGGTCACTCGGGTCAAATGTACTAATTAAAATTACTCTGACGACACAATGTTCTTTGTGTTCTTTATTATACCTCCTCATGGTCAACCATTACTTTCATTTGAGATTCATATCATATTATTATTTGTAGTTTTTAGAATAGATGGCATTTCAAATATGATAATCTTGATACAACCAGGCACAATCAAGATCAGATAAGTGTGGGAGAGCCATGCTTCGGCAAATGGGTCGGCTCGACCGGAGTAATACCACGCCCTCACAGAAAACCGGCGTGAAACAACCGAGGTTACCGGAGGCCCAATCCTTCCCCTGCCCCAATCCCTCAATCTCCAAATCCCTTATTCTTAAAAGGTAGGCAACGCACTCGTAACTCCGCCATTGAGATCTCGTGATTCCGGATGTACATGGGCGGCGCTGATTGCTTACCATCAGGCATATTGCATACCATAATCCGTTTGCTCGTTTGCCGACCTATTACATAAAGAAAGCAATATATTTTAATAATAGTAAAATTGTTGCAACAGATTTTCATCCACGTGGACTACAGATAAATTCTCTTCAAAAAATAGATTTCAATACTATCAGAAATGTCTGAATTAGATTTTTTTTATGATGGTCGGCAAACGAGAGTTCGCATTATCGGATGGTAAGCAATCGCCGCCGCCCATGGACACGCGCAACACCAAACGAATTACGAGCGCGTTGCGTTTCGGATATTTAAGGATTTAGGGGTGGGAGGAAGGGGAGTGATTGAGGGACCGGGCGGCGTAACACAACGCTGTGGTTGTTTCACGCCTATTTTCTGTGAAGCCGTGGTATCACTCCGGTCGAGCCGATCCATTCGTGCCGATGCTTGGCTCTTCCATACCTAAAATGTATCAATAAGTAAATATATTCAGTTTTTTACAAACATACATTTCGCATACACATGACACCCAGACCCGTAACAACAATTTATGGATCACACAGAGATGTTCCGTGCGAGAATCGAACCTGCGATACGTTGCACGGCAGCCGGTAGCCCAGCCACCGTTCCAACCGTGCATGTAGTCATAGTCAAGTATATGAGAACGTAGCATTTTAATATGATATTTTTTACCATTTTTCTCGCAGCTTTTCCGACGACGGACTACAGAACTATAATAGCAGCGTCGCAGTCGAATGCTCCAATACCTATGGAGACACATAGTCTCGGCATGTTACGTTGTTACAAAGATCCAACAACATTTACTGACAAACCTCCCACAGTCCGGCCGACTATCAATCCTCCAGGTAAATGGAAATTTATGCCTTATTTCTTAAGCATAAAAGTCGGTAAAATCTTTTACCCGATAGTATGTTTAAAATGATTGTATTGTATTACCTTGTTCTTCTTGCTCTGTACACGATAGTCTTTCTAATAGAAATGGTGCATCTGATGAACCCTAAGTCGGGTTTGTAAGGGCCCAGAGCTGTCTTTTTTTTAAACACGAGAAATTTGAGCCTTTTTTGACGAGGGAAAGTTTTCAAATGACTCCTCTCACTATGGGTGCGGCGAGAGAGAGTCCTACTGGATAGAAACAACCCTTCGGAATGTTCATTTTCCTGCTGAAGGCTGTGTATGCGGTACATTATTGAGGCTGAAGTGTTAATCCCAATGTAAGTGAGAAAAGACCGAGAAAATAAGATGTTCTGTTTTTTTCTTTATAGGGGAGAAATTTAAGTCTTCCTAGATAAAATCTATACTATCTATACTATACTAATATATTATTTAGACGTAAAATTTGTAAGTTTGTATGTAGGGGGTAATCTTTGAAACCGCTGGTTGGATTGCCAAAATTATTTCACTGATAGATAGCTACAATGTTCCTGAGTGCTATAGGCTATAAAACATCACGCTACGATTAAATGATGAGAGTAGCTAGTAATCAATATTTCATTAAATACTTGAATCGTGATTAAAACTGATTTCTATTTTCACCAGGAAAAATCCACACAGGAGTAGCTCCAACAGCCATTCAAACTTGGTTCGCGGAGTACCCTGGTAGGACAGAATATATGGACACGTACAGTGCCTCAGCGAAGGCATGTTGGCGATCCATGCAAAGGTACAAGGAGCCTATGCCCTCCACAAGAAGAAGGGCAGATGACACCTGTGTATAAATCGTGGATTATAATTGTTGGGTAGTGATTTTGTCTTTAAATCAGTTTCATGTTTATTAGGAATAAAATAAGGGAAGATATCAATGGTTTTTATTTGCGAACTATATCAATCCTTTTTGCTTTTATATATTATCTCAATAGTATCATCTCACACACTGACTGCACGGTTGGCGCGGTGGCTGGGCAACTGGCTGTCGTGCAACGTGTCGCGGGTTCGATTCCCGCACGGAACAACTCTTTGTGTGATCCACAAATTGTTGTTCCGGGTCTGGGTGTGATCTGTATGTGAAATTGTATGTTTGTAAACGCACCCACGACACAGGAGAAAATCCTAGTGTGGGGCAATGTTTTATAATTAAATAAAATACACATTGCAATTATTCCATAATACCTACTCGCTTTATTGACTCAGAGACCTACGGTTGATCTAGGCCGATATACGTTTATGCCATTTGTCATAGTTTTTGGCAGTTTTATACCAGTTATTATTTCAAAGTTCCTTGAAATAGGCCTCTACCACATATTTACCAGCGATATCTTGGTTGATCCACTGGTCACCGTCCAGAACGTTGATTATTTCACCATGATTAGACTTTTTTGCCTGTGCGCCGACCCCGGAAATAAATTGTGATAATCCTTTGAACAATATTTGGTATTGATAATAAAAATGAGTACAAAATTACAGTGAATGATAACGTACATTAGAACGCACTGGAGCCATTATAATAATGTGGTTTATCAATGTAATAATTATGAAATTATGATACTTTATTACAAAGGTCAGACAAGTCACTATAATTTAGCGAATGTTTAACTTACTTTATTGGAAGTAAAGACTTACACACACGTGAAATAATTGAGAAAAGCTCGACTTGTTTCATTTCGTTTTCCATCATCGTTTTGTCTGTGGACCTAAGAAAAACTCACATAGGCACTTGCCATTTGCCAAGTTTACATCTTTATACCTACATAAGCAGCAAGAGCCTTCGGGCCAACATTCATTATTAAACAATAACAATTTAATTTATCAATAAAAAGGGAAAACGAGAATTACCTCAAAATTGATGTACAGGCATTATTACTCCATTTCTGTCTCATTGTCTAACATAGCTGGATAATGTAGGTAACACACCTGTCTATTACTTCAAGAATACTAGGTAACTTTGCTTAATATACTTTCGGTATAATATTCTTAGATGAAAAACAACAAACGAATCAATAAAAATGAAGAGAATGGATGAAAGAAAGATAAGGACGAAGGTGAAATACAAAAATACCTACTTGACAAAAATGAGGATGTAGGTATGCGACAGTGCTAACAAAATTATACTTTAATAAAATATAGACTTTTATTTACGTCGATTTCATATACAATCAAATCTATTCTGATATTTAGGTGTCTATGTATATTCTATAAAATGTATAAAAATAAATATTTCCTTATATCATTAGTTTAATTACAATATACTTATTATCACAATCTGATTGGAACTGAAATATAAATAGGAAAAATCACGTTAACTTATTGGCACTTTGTTGGAATAAAATTATCTAACTTACTAAGTACATTTTATGTTATTGTCCTTATTTTTACAAATAAATTGGATATGGATAAAATAAAGGGTTTCAAATCTATACCAAAATAGTTATTATAATTGCTATAAAAATATGTAGACGCATTAGTCAACAGAGGTTTATTGCATGACTATATTTTTTAAATGTTACTAGTTACTTAACTATTTCAGTCTATTAAACTTAAACAGGTAAAATAGTCATTTTTATTACCCAAACAATACTTATTGGTGTTGTATTCACTCTTAAACTTTAGGTACCTCCTTAAAGATTAACTGTAATTTATACACCATGATTAAGCCAATCTTTAGCTTTTTTTTAAGATATGTTCCGGAACTAAATATTCAGTGAAGAACAGTTAAGTATTCATTAAATGGCTCATGACTCTGAGTGCCAATGATTTGTCATTACGATAAAAACCTAACAATCCAAGTTGGAATGTTTTACATTTAAAAAAGGATTCCATTTTTATACACAAGTTTGTCTAAATGAAGTTTTTTTACCGTTTTTCCTTATTCAGTATTTTTTTTTATGACGTGTATGTTGGTAGGATTAGGTACTCAAAAAAGAACTTCATGTCATTGTTATCCCTTTTCTAGTAGTTTAACCTACCGAAAATTAATCTAATTTAAACTATTAGAAAACACTCATAATAAAATTAATCTTTTGTAGGTGCATTCTCATTTCACAAGCCAACCAATTTATTATGAATGTAATAATACTAATATTTACTAGTAGGTACTATAAATAAGTGGTTATGATGTAGCTGTATTTTTTATAATCTTCAGATAATTCGCTCGAAGTCGAGTTCTTCTGTTCGTCCATTGTGAGGGCATTTCGGAAGAAGTTGCTGATAGCTGGCAGTATGTGGCTGGAGGCTTGGTTTAAAAGGATGAAAGTACAAAGTACCAGAATAAGTACCTGAAAAAAGAAATAAAAAAATGTTAAGCAATTTAATTAGTATTTTCTTTTCGACTATGAGTACAAGTGTGGGAGAGCCACGTTCGGCGCGAATGGGTCGGCTCGACCGGAGTGATACCACGGCCTCACAGAAAACCGGCGTGAAACAACCAGAGCGTTGTGTTTCGCCGTGTGAGTGAGGTTACCGGAGGCCCATTCCTTCCCCTCACCCAATCCCTCAATCCCTAATTCCTAAAAGGTCGGCAACCGGTCGGTCGGTCGGTTGATGTGATAAGATGGCAAACGAGCCGACGGATTACTTGATGGTAAGCAATCTGCGCCGCCCATGGACACCCTCTACACCAAAGAAGTTACAAGTGCATACCTTTTAGGGATTGGGGAAAGGGAGAGGATTAAAAACCACCCCCTTTCCATGTTTCAATCGCAGTACCTTTTTGTAGGGAATACTCAAAAAATGATTTCTTTCGTCAAGGCGAGAGGGAGCGTCAGACTCTTACTGACTAAAAACTATCCATTCCTTGTCCGGCCGAGGTTGAGGTACCTTATTGCGCTTAACCAACAACTTTGGCTGAACATCAGCCCTGTTAGGCTCCACCTGTGGTGGTCTGTGGCTCTTTGAGGCGTGCGTTATTAAACCCTAAGGTATCATTTTACAAAAAACTTTTTAAAATATACCGAACACAATTCTAAAAGTACTACGAAGATGATCAAAAATGCTAAAAAGCAATAATACTTTGATCTACATACAAATCAACAAGAAATCTCTTGCTCATCATCCAGACACGCGACACCACAAAAATAAGGCAGACAAATTACTACAATGACTATTAATAACGGTAGCGTTGAAGATATTATCAATTGACGAGACCAGAGGCCCACAAACTCCCATGAGCTCATTGCCCCATAGCTGATAAACTACTGGCGTGAGTCTCATTATACATGATGGCTGTTGACATATTCAAGGACCTGATTCTGATGCTCAATAAAGCAACTTTCTCCATAAGACTAATATGGAAGTCTCAAAAAAGTTTTAACTTCTCCGTGCAAAATGATAAATCAGCTGTTGCGATTTGTATTTTATTTCAATAGGTACAGCGACAGACTCGGCGCTTAGCGTTCCGCGCGCGCCTCAAAGAACCAATAGACCACCACAGACGGGGCCCTAAAGGGCTGATGTTCAGCCGGGGTTGCGGGGTAAGCGCAATGAGGTACCGCGATCTCGGCACAGAGCAGGAGAAGGAACAGGGAGGTTATAGTCAGTAAGAGTCTGACACTCCCTCTAGCCCGGCCCTTGGCGGGAGAAGTCACTTGATGATTTTCCCCTTAAAAAAAAACAGCGACAGACTACAGACTAAGACAATCAGCACAGTAAACACAACATACAATACAATAATCTGAAGTCCAATTATGACTGTACACAGCATTCAATGTTTAACATGCTTCAATAAGTCACAATAAACATGAAGTAGCTAACAAATAACACCAATATTATTACAACTTACACAAATAATTTCTAAATTCATTATAAGTGTTAAAAATAAGTCTACTTTATTGCATATTGCATTATGCTCATTACACATTCTGGATTGTATGGGGAAATAAATTCATTTTTGAGATTAGTATATTGGTCCCATGGAAAAAGTTGTTGTAATTGAGCGCCAGAATCGGCTCCTTCAGTATGCCCCTCGTTCAACCTAGCACACTGTATAGACTTTTTTATGGGTTAGGACATCAACAAACAAGCAGAGATGGAAAGCAATTCGCGCCGCCCATGGACAACAACAGCACCAGAGAAGTGAGTTATTGGTCTATTAAGGTTAGGCCTTTGAAGCCTTTTAGGGTTTGAAAGTTAAGGGGTTTGGGGTGGTGGAGGGTAAGATTGGGCCTCCGGTTCCTTTACTCATACGGCTACGTAAGGTTGAGTCTTCAGTACTCAGAGTTTCATTTCGGTTTTCTATGAGATCGTGTTAGCTTACTTAGGTCAAGCCGGTCCGACCGTACTGAAGCTTGTCTCTCCTACACCTGTCATTCATACACACTTATAACATTTTAATATGTTTCTAGCTTTCCGCCAGAATAATATCACAAAATTTCGACGCAAAAAAGGACTATACCACTCTGCTTGTCCCTTGTACATTTCCAATTCAAATTAATATTGTAAATCCTAAAGTAAGTTTTGTATGTCAACCAATAGACTTGACTGATAGGAAGACCGACCCGATCCTTGTTGGAATACAAGGACAAGACAAGTCAGAACTCAGGATTCAACCAACTCAATAGAGTACTGAAGACTTAACAAATAGGAGGACTAATCCGTTCTTTGTTGAAATACAAGACAAGTCAGTACTCGACCAACTCATTAGATTGGTTATGTCTTAATTAATGAAGACTTTAACAATCCATAAATAAACATAGTTTTGAGTACAAAAAATGCCACAGGCTAGTCTCACAAACAACGTTGCCGATAAATACTAGTAAGTAACAGATTAATATATGGACTATTGTATGAACCAAACAAAACACAAGTAGTTCTCATACACTCAAGTCACCTGAGGATAGAATTATAATGTTAATTGTTTCGTCATGTACCAGGAACCCTTATCAAGGACAAGTTTATTAGTAACTAAGTCATAACTATTTAAACTATGTCACGCAATGAGCAAATATACGTTTAAACTAGTTTTAGGAAATATAGGTAGGTACCTACTTCACAACTTGACCACCTACTATACGGCCGCCGTATCTTAGCGAGTCTGAAGTTAGCCGTTTGTCTGCGCAATGAATCTTTTAGGAACAAAATTGTGTACTGCGCAGCTAATCGGCTAACTTCAGACTCGTCAAGATACGGTATTGTACACTGTTGACGCAGTGGCTGAACTCTTGGTTGCCATGCAATGTATCGCGGTCTCGATTCCCGCATCGAAATGTTTGTGTTACAACTTTCATAAGACATGTAACTGTGTGATGATACGAACTCGAATACTTTCTAACCATGATTGGGGCTCATATTCATGAGCAGCACGGTTCGACGTAGTTTGTGATGTGTGTGTATTTTTTCGAGTTACCTCGTCAACATTTACGTATTAAGCTGTTTAACATAATTAAATCTTTGTGTGATTTACAAATTGTTGTTCCAAAAAATTAGGTATATATACGAAAATGCAGAACTGTATTCGCCTATATTTATCTTTATGCTCCCGACACAAGAAAAAATCTTAATGTTGGTAAAGTTTTTAAAAAAGAGAAATAAGAACATAAACAAACTGCCTCAATGCTCGAGTAGTTTTTTCTCGGATTTGATCCGAATAGGTCGGACATTGTTTTATTATTGAATTGCATCTTATTTTAAACACTTCATAATAGATAGGTATACTCTATTATGAAGACTCATAATTATAACGCAAAATTCCTTATGATAATGTTTTGTCAAATAAAAAAATCATATCATGTGACAATATATAAAATAACCTTGAATTTCATTAAACATACAAATACAATGTACGTAGGAAGATCATTAGAAATATTTTGTGTACTTAGGTATGTTTATAAAAATATTTATGTTTATTCTTCATATTAGTCCCTATCCTTTGCATACCAAAACAAGCTTAGACAACGCGGTTCTGAAGACTAAACTAATCGTCCATTGTTGTATACTACAAACAACGCCTACAGGCCACAATAGCGCCGTCAAACACATAGCCATAATAAGCAAATATAAGCATACAAAGCACAGGTTTTCTTTTTGATTCTGTTCTCAAATCCTTGGACTGATCATTTTAAATTATTCATATCAAATTATGGAAGCTGGACTTCCATAATTTGCAACATTACATTAGAAAGGAATTTTTTTAACAAGTTGGTGATAGCCGTACTCAAAAAAATACCAACAACCTTCTAAAATCAATAATCTTTTACTACCCCTAAAAGGGCAGGCAGGGTTCAAAACTGAGCGTGCGGCGCGAGCCAATAGACCACCACAGACAGGGCCCTATACGGCTGATGTTCAGCCGGGGTTGCGGGCTAAGCGCAATGAGGCACCACGACCTCGGCCCAGAGCAGGAGAAGGAACGGGGTTTTTAGTCAGTAAGAGTCTAACACTCTCTCTCGCCTTACCCTGGGCAGGAGAAGTCATTAGATGATTTTTCCCTGACAAACAAAAAAGGGTTGCGGGTCAAACGTAATAACCTAACAAATACCGCGTCCCCGACCTGGAGAAAAGCAAGGGATGGGCTGATTTATAGTCAGTAAGAGTCTGGCATCACTCTGATGCTTTTCTCCGCTTAGAAAACAACCTACCTAATTGTAACTTCTCAAGTGTTGAGTGTGCCTACGTTCCACGCTTATTGCTTGCCATCAGGTAATCCTAATCTAGGTCCTACGACACAAAAGTATACGTTTGGACGAAATTTAAACCCTATTGTGGTTAACTAAATATTACTGTTTGGTCAATTTATTGATTTTCGACCTTAAGTTTACCGGTAGTGAATCGATTTCTGTTCAAAATCACTTGGAATAGGTATTTAGGTATACCAATTTTTACCACTTCGTATAAATTAATATAGATAGGTACGTAAGATTAATAATTTTGGTAAGTACCGTTTTGTCTAAAATTAGGTACATTTCATACATAGTTTAATTACTCCGAATCTCGATGTTTTTCATGCAACAATATTGTTTGGTATTATTTTAATATATCGCCAAGCTAATTACATAAGTATCGAAATTATTGAACTATAATATAACAATTCATAACCTACCCATATTTAAAATTATTGCTATTGACAGAATTTCAATAGAACTGTTGTCCAACTTCGTAGTTTTAATTCCAATCGTCATTGAGCAAATAGTAACTACCCACTTTTCAACAGTTAGAACTTTTATTTTTGAATGATAATTATTATTATTATTATTTTTTTCATGGGATAGTGTGATGAACGAGCTGATGATCATTTTATTACACTAGAAGCAATGGTATTATATATTAATTAATTGTTAATATAATATCATTGACTAGAAGAGTTGCAACTGCACTGCAGGAATTATGCTAGTTAGAAATTTGACGACTGGTCGATGTTGGAGTTGGTGACAGAAATTTTAAAAGCAATAGAAACAGAGTGAAAAATGAAGGTAGGTTAATAAGTGCAGTGTTTACCTCCAGTATACATCAAACGGGTGTCCAGCTCAGCAAATCTTCGTTCGTAACAAAATTATCTGACGTTTATAGTTGCACGGATTTTCTATTTATACTAATATTATAAAGAGATAAATAAGTTTGTATAAGGGGGTAATCTTTGGAACCGCTGATCGACTTCCAATATTCTTTCATTGGTAGATAGCTACAATGTTCCTGAGTGCTATAGGCTATAAAACATCACCGTACAAACAACAGGAGCCGAGCAGTGGGTGCGATTGCGCGGCAGTTAATATAAAAAGGCGATCTATAAATTTTAAATTAAGAACGAATTCGAATTTTACGTATTACTTGGACACTATTAGTATTTTTTAAAAAGGCCTGTTTTCTAATTAGTAGTCACCAGTTTGCCTGTCACCAAATTAACATAACCATTCCAAATTCAAAAATTTAGAAATCTATTCAAAAGAATTTAATCCAAAAAGGTTTTATTTATTTATCAAATTAAATATAAATATAACTTACCGATGCACGTCTCATATTGTATTTGATATCAACATGGAAGTAATTAGTCAACTACAGTCACAGATCCACAGATAAACAAATACAAATGATTGTTTTTGTTTTTAAATGTACATACACTTCACAACAATGTTTTGTGTTTATAGTTAATAGCTAGAATCACTGGTCGCACGCGACTGCCGTCATCGCCCGCCGATACGGGACTGAAGATTCTCAGAACGTTCAACCAATGCCCTAAATAAAGACATTATTCATTAAACTCCATTTTATTTTTTATATTTTGGGATGACTGAACTTCATTAATGAACCAAGAAAACTATTTTAAGGTTTGATTAAACTATGTCAATAGTTCGATGAGCGGTAAGTACGTTAAAGAGGCACAAGTTTTATTTACAAACTTTTTTGTACAAATCACGGAAAATACTATTACGATTTTAATTAAACTCGGTTGCCATATGTAATATACATAAGTCTAAAAGTTGATTACTGAATATCTCTAAGTAATTTTGAGTTTGCATACAAGCTAACATTAAACACTTAAAGTCGAAAACGGTGTTAAAAATTTTTAGGTCTTGATTCATTGTATATAAGTACCAAGTTTCATTAAAATCGGTTCAGTGGTTTCCATATTTTTTAACTTGTAAATATGTAGGTATGGGAATGCGTGAAACGACCATAATTTAGTTATAATATTGAAGTAAATGTCTAATTAACTTCATATTCTGCTTTACGTAATAATTAGGTACTTGATCGTCTTTGTTTCATTTGCTTGGGTGACTGCTGAGTTCAAGGTTTGAGATTTGCGTACCAGTATATAGATATTTAACTTTGTTTTAATAAATTTTAAATAAATAGGACCATTTATATCCCAGACCGTCCACGTTCATACGTATCGTTTCAAACCGGACTGCAATTGGGCGAGTTGATATAGTATTTAGCTAGAGTACTAGTTACTTTGATTTTGGACATTTCAACTTGATGTGAAATATAAGTGCTTGAGTGCGAATCATAGTATAGCATAAAACAAAGTTGCTTTCTCATACCCTATATCACATCCCTAATGTATAATTAAGTCTACAAAATTACACGCCGGATTTTGATGCGGTTTTTAATGGGTATAGTAATGGAAGAGGACGGTTTATATGTATAATAATATCATCCATTATATAGTGGAGTAATTTAATATGAATGTATATTTTTCTACGTTCTTACATACCCTCTTCTACCCCCTGGGGGTAAGAATGGGCAGAAATGACCATTAAGTGTTTTTCCCAATTTTTACTAGATAAGCTATAAACATGTCAACAATGATCACCATTTTCCAAAATTCAGTGCAGACTGAAAAATTTTCATTTCATTAAATAACAGTCGTGATGCGTGTAATCAAATCAGCTGTTTCTTACTAATCAATTTTTTTCAAGATTTCTTTATGAATTGTTTTTTTTTAATCTCGTTATCGTAGTAATCAACAGTTCTTTTGATTAATTTCACCGGGTAGGCAATTTAGGTTATGTTTTCTGATGCCTATCTTGTATGGTCGTTCATTCGATTTTCCAAAAGCGTTTTCTTTATAGGTTTTGTATTTTGACTAACGTCTTCATTCAAATGTTTGATCTGACTTACAACTTTAGCCAAATTTATATTTATGTAGTTACAATTCTAATGCGCCTTTTTTGTCAGGGGGATATCTTCGAATGACCTCTCCCGCCCAGGGTAGGGCGGGAGGGAGTGTCAGACTCTAACCGACTAAAAACCCCTGTTCTTTCTCCTGTTCTGGTCCGAGGTCGCGGTGCGTCATTCCACTTACCCCGCAACCCCGGCTGAACATCGCCCCTATAGGGCCACGTCTGTGGTGGTCTATTGGCTCGTTGAGGCGAGCGCGGAACGCTACGCGCCGTACGTCACGGTCTGGTTCTGGTCGGGCGGCGAGCTACCCTTACTCGCCGTCCGCAGACCCGCGCTTGCGGTGGCCGGAGATCGTCTCTTGATCCTTGGCGTCCGGAGTGTCGCCTCCTGTGGCGGCTGGGGCGTGAGGAATATAGTTCCTTCACGCGCTCCGCCTCCTTTGCGAGTATCACTGCTTCGCAGAAAGAGGAGACGCCTACCCAATTCCTGTCGCTACGAACCATGGCCTTGACTAAGACCGGGCCGTACCCGGTAAGCACCTGCGTCAGGCGGAAGGTGAAAACGCTGTGGCGTCTCTCAAGGCACTCCTCAAAGAGGCGTCTTACCGCTGCTATAACAGCGTGCCCGAATTATAATGCGCTGGAGTGCTATTTAACTCACTCATGACTTACATGTTACAGGTATCCTATTGCCGACAGATATAAATCCGGGAATCCAAACTCCGTTTACTAAGCTGGGCAGTGGCCCTTGGTTCACGCCACCAAGTAGGCAATTGTAGTCTTGAACCAGACATGAGCGTACCGCGCGTAGCCATAAAAGCCATCACAGATAAGGCACATCGGAGTCGATAATCAGTCAGGGTTGTGGGGCAAGAGCGATAAGATACCGACGCCATAGCTTGAAGCAGAAGATGAAACTAGGATTTTTTTGTCAGTAAAAGTCACAGTCCCTCTCGCGTTACCCTGGGCGAGAAAGGCTATTTAATGATTTTCCCCTCACAAAAGGAGTCACGATTTCGTTATTAATAGGATAATAGTAAGAATGGTGTAGTAATTATGGATAAAAATGATAAAATTATTTCTTATTTCATTCGTACGTGACATATTACACATTCATTAAAAAAAAAAAATTATTAAGCACGTGATCTGACGCTCATTCTTTCTACTTAACTCTAATCAACTTGTGTTCGCATTCGCACCTAATAAACTATGCTTTTTACCTTCATTAAAACTCGATGAAACGTAGCAATGCGAATACTGTGGCAAATATGTCTAGTTATAAATTCAGGGTGTAAAAAGACACTTAACGAAGCCGAAAGCCACGTATTCTACCCATTATTTGGATCATCTTTTTCTTTTAGACCATAGCTCTATACACCACGGGTTCTCGAGATATTGAAGGTCAAAGATGAATTTTTAATTTTTTTTTGCGCAATCGAATTCTAAATATTATTACAAAACTTTTTTCAAACAAACATTACCTGAATTTTCGATTTTTCTAAATAAATTACGCATTTGAAGTTACGAACAGTAATGTACGTAATAAATAAATGCAGACCCCCACAAAAAACATCGTGCATCTCAGTAGGATTTTTATTTTACAGAATTGTTTTGATGTTGTAAAGTAAAACGTCGACCTACGAACTTATCACAGCGTTTTAATGGTAAGCTGTGAACATACGCACACAATGACACGAAGCCCGTTTGCTTTACATTGCGCGCAATATTTTTTTCTTTAATACCTAAAAATAAAAGTCGCTTCCCAGTGATCATTTTAGCGTAAAGCTACTTAGTTAGAAATGCAGTATGCATAGTTAACGGCTTAGTTAAGTGTCTTTTTACACCCTGTATATTAAGAGATTTACATTACGATCATCACCATCTTCATAATAATAAGTCGTTCTCAGTCTACTGAGTTTTATGGGACTGGGGATTTGGCGTTTGAGATAACCATCTCAGGGAGGCAATTGGTCCTCTGGGAACCTTACTCACTCGCCATTGTTTCACGCTGGCTTTTACGAGGTCGTGGTATCTCTTCAATCGAGCCTGCTCATTCGTGCTGGAGCATGGTTCAAAGTTTCAAAATATCTGATTAAGATTCAACACATATTTTAGCACATTCTATGAGAAATGCGTTAAATATAGAAGTTAGACTTAATAGGCACTTAATCATAAATGGCCCTTAATTCATCAACCCCAAGCGAACGCCAGCGTTTGCTCATAATAATTACCATGATTGAACTGTTAAACAAAAATGTATCGTGTTGTAAATGGTCAGAATATAATTTTACCTATTCGTAGAATAGCTTTTGTTATAATTTATAGGATGCAAGCGTTCTGGTTGTCAACGGCCATAGAAACTCGTAGATCCGTAACACCTGTGGTAGCACTGAGGATGAATGACCATCAATTACAAAACATACGCGCATGAAAGTACCTAAGTAATCTAACTCCCATAAAATAGTACCTACAAACTTCGATCGCATTCTTTAAGATTAACTGCATGGGTCAACATTCTACCACACAGATAGAATTTTGATTAAAGTTTTTTCTGTTGCATTGATGCACAAACACACTACACAATAACACAATACAATACAATTGATTTGAAATATTGATATTGAAATAAGTATAATTTTTCAATTCCACTTGTCCAGCGCCTATGGCGTGGTGTCGCAGTTTTGCCTGCTTGCTATCGCCATCTCAATCCCATTTACCCACTATTTAAAGTGAAATTTTTATTGTATGTAACTTTTATTGTATTATTTTTTGATGTTTTTTTAGTAGATTTATTTTAATGTTTGATTTACTTTTGGTATTTTATAATTTATGTTTTTTTTTTACTTATTTCCAAACTGGTAATTGTTTATTGCTGTCCGTTAGTGGCTTGTTCGTCCGCGAGTCACTTAAGGGGCCAGTAGAAAATCAGCGCAAGGCCCTGTCTTGCACATGCTGAACTCGTTCCATTTCACCACAGACTTGGGTTGGGACACTAGTATGTAGGTGGTCCATAAACTGTTTATACAGAATCTTATGTGTCGCATGTTTTAGCGTGTGAAATAAAGCTTATTTTCTTTCTTTCTTTCTTCTAAGTAATAAGGCATTCATTTTTGTTCAAATTCTCTTTTATTACACACTAGCTACTCTCACGCGGTTTCATCCGCTGCTCGACTCCATTTGATCAAAGCGTGATGTTTTATAGCCAGCACTTAGGAACATTGTAGCTACATACATATATCAGTGAAAAAATTTTGGTAATCCGACCAGCGGTTCCAAAGATTACCTCCTACATACAAACTTACAAACTTACAAACATACAAACTTTCAAATTTTACCTTTTTATAATATTAGTATAGATTAAAATTGGCCCTTAAATATTTTGATACACAATTATAGTGAAAAAAATCACTTTAAAGTTTGTACGTAAGTACATATTTTCCGGGAAGTATTCCATGAATTGTATTAGAATTCGTTTCTTTTTCTCATCATATACATTGTTTGTTGAACGAAATATTTCCTAAAATATATAAAACACTACCACAATCGAAAGAAGGAATTACTATAATAGGTATAACTTACGTGTGTGAGATTCAACAATGTGAATTGGAGTCATACCACGGCCTCACAGAAAACCGGCGTGAAACAACCACAGCGTTGTGTTTCGCCGTATGAGTGAGGTTACCGGAGGGCCAATCCAATCCTTTCCCAATCAAAAAATCTTCAAATACCTAATCCCCAAAAGTTCGGCAACGCACTCGTAACTCCTCTGTAGTTGCGGGTGTCTACGGGCAGTGCTGATTGTTTACCAACAGGTAATCCGTTTGGTTATATGTCGTGGTGGCCCGGAGGTTAAGGAGCCCGCTTCTCATGCATAAGGGTGTGGGTTCAAAATCTGGCAAGTACCAATGTGACTTTTGTAGAGTTATATGTACTTTCTATGATTATTTAGACACCACTGACATACGGTGAAGGTAAACATCGTGAGGAAACCTGGACTTATAATTTCCTTCTCCGTGTGAGAAGAGGCCTTTGCTCAGCAGTGGGCACTTATAGGCTGATGATGAATCCGCTTGCTCGTTTGCCGACCTATCACATTAAAAAAAAACTTAATCTTATCATCGATCCTAATGGCATAATAACAATATGAAGTATAAAGTATCTATGTACTATAGTGGATCACGTCACGTGCTAACAACATGTTCGGTTCAACTTTGCACGCGTTCGCGGCGTACGCGCAGTTGTTATGCGCATGCGTCAAGCAAATCAAACAAGTTTTTGATTGATTCGAAGCATTTAGTTAGTAAACACATTGTAATTACTTGTAACGTGACACAATATCACGTTTACTGTTTATTAAAGGGGTATTACAGATTAGTAATTTAATAAGACTATCTTGTTGGCTTAAAAACGTATGTGTACCTAATAATAAAGTACCTACATAGTAATAATGTATCTAAATGTTTGCATGCCCAATCGCTAAATATGGCTGACCTATTTATTTATTTATTATTAGGTTCACCAACGAATGTTTGCACTGATACATACCTACCTATTTTCAACTACAATAATGGATTTACGAGTATAAATTAAAGAGCATTTCAGTAAAACCATAATTTGTAGATTAAAAATATTCAATTCTATTCTGTGGCCTTTGTGGGTGAGCAAAGGATATATTAAGTACTAGCTTCAGCCCGCGACTTCGCCCGCGCGAAATAATAACTTCTGCATATTTCTGCTTTAAAAACTATCCTATGCTATATTTCTTGAGTTCTAAACTATGTCTGTATCAAATTTCACACAAATCGGTTTAGTAGTTTAGGCGTTAAGAAAACACAGACTGACAGACAGACAGAGTTACTTTCGCATTTATAATATTAGTTTGGATGGTCTAAAATATTTTTCGATTTTTATGTTTTTAAAAACTTCTTAATAATAACACAGCTAAAGTCTAAAATAATGCTCAGTATCGCTTAAAATTATCATTCAATTAACCAGGAAACAAGTACGATTTAAATTTAGAACATTTCTGAAAATGAATAAACGAATTTCGATTTCTATGTAAAAAGCCAGCACCTTGAACAGTCTTTGTTTAATATTCAGCCTAGCAGCCTAGCACTAAGAGTTTCTTCAAGTGATTTTGATTTTCAGAACTAATTACGTTTCTAGTCATTCTAGACATCAGCCGGGGTTGCGGGGTTAGCGCATTGAGGCACCGCAGCCTCGGCAAAGAGCAGGAGAAGAAACAGGGGAGTGTCAGTCAGTAAACCACGCCCTCCGGCCCGACCCTGGGCGGGAGAAGTCATCATCATCATCATCAGCCCATAAGCTCCCACTGCTAAGCAAAGGCATCTTCTCACACGGAGAAGGTTTCGAGCATTAATCATCACGCTTGCACAATGCGGGTTGGCAATTTCAAACTTATAATTAGAAATTATAAGTCCAGCTTTCCTCAAAATATTTACCTTCACCGTATGTCAGCGGTGTCTAAATAATCATATAAAGTACATATATCTAAGAAAAAGTCACATTGGTACTTGCCAGGTTTCGAACCTCTGGGCCACCGCGACTAGAGAGAAGACATTTGATGATTTTCCCCTCACAAAAATGGCATTCTAGACAAATGGAATATATATTATATTATATGTCGTAGATATTAATAAATTATCATGTCTAAGAACTAAAATTCAATGATGTACGATTTATTTTCTGACAAGATTAGGGGCCACAGAGGTCAATGACGTTGGAAAGGTTTTTGCGAATGTCTAGTACCGACATTAGAATTAAATAGATATAGTTTTTATCCTTAGCTTGAATTATTGAGAATGATGGTATGGTAGAGGTCGTTGACTTTTTTGTAAGGTCGTAATGAACTTGAACTTGTATGTACAGCGGTATATGATGATGTACCTATGTAGTAAGTACCGCATTTATTTTGCTAAACATGATATCATACGAATAGGTTAGGTGTTTATCGATTTTTCTGAGTTCCTCCCCTTAAAACCGAATAGGTTGTTTGGTATTATAACTTGCAATAGTTATCCTAATAGTATCCATTCTTCCTTTTTGTTGACACGCCTTTGTATCGCTAATCTGTATTTTCCATTTTCCTACATCATTGACAATTAATTGTCAATATTAATATGTCAAATTAAGATCAAAATTGTGCTGTACTTATCAAACTACAAAATTAAAACATTGGCAGTAAACAGTTCAATAAAACATTACTAACTGAGGATGTTTCAGAGAGCTTTCATGTTGATACTATGCGCTTTGAATTTACAGAATGGACAAAAATGTAGACTGAACACAAGAATGGATTTCGGAGAACCTTTGCCGGTTATAATAAGAGATGGGAAGCTTTTAGAACCAACAGATAACTATGGTAATGTTGAAATGAACTATGGCGACACTCTCACTTTAAGTTGTGAAGGAATGGGCAACATAAAGCATCCCAACGTACATCGGCCGCTATCTGTAGCTACTATAAGCTGTGAAGGTGGAGACACGTTCAAAAATGACGACTGGCTGAATGCACCTTCACGATTCTTTCTATTCAGATGCAGCGCCTCCCCACAACATAGAAGCAGACGAACAGAACGCTTATGCTATGACAGTAACCCCATCATTGAAGTCGGCTACGCTGCGAACAATGATTTCTACCCTCTGTACGAGTCTTGTTTTAACGAAGCTGCTCTAAATGTTCTCTATTCAAAGTACACCCAAAAACCTTATAACGCTTTATACCAAACTAAAATTGTTCGACCGTATTTTATCGCAGATGACCAATTTGGGTATATTCCGATTGATACACTGTTTTCGCCTAGAGGTTTAAAGTCGGCTGTAGCCAAGTTGGTGGGGCCAGCAATAGATAACTATGTAACACAAACCCAATTTCTCTCCCGAGGGCATTTGGCTGCGAAAACTGACTTCGTTTTTGCATTTGGAGAACGTGCGACCTTTCATTACGTGAACTGCGCTCCCCAGTGGGTAGGTTTTAATGGCGGGAACTGGAATACTCTGGAAGTGGACCTAAGGAACCACGTCCACGCGGCTGGCTACAACACTATTATTTACACTGGTACTTTCGGCATATCACATCTGCAGGACTCTTTTGGGCATAAAATCGACTTATATTTGCATACAGATAAAAATAACAATCCCGTTATACCGGTGCCTTTGTTTTATTATAAGGTTGTGTATGAAACAGAGCGTAAATGTGGAATAGCGTTTGTAGGCATCAACAACCCTTACGTCACTTCGGAAGAGGCCCATCAGATGTTCTTCTGTGAAGACTTGTGTAGACGCAACAGAGACTTTTCCTGGCTAACCTGGAGCCCTGACTCTGCAAGCGAAGGCTACACATTCTGCTGTACTATCCCTGACTTCAGAAAAACTGTTCCACATTTGCCAACATTTGATGTCGATTGTGTTTTAACGTGAAGTCATGTATTATGGTTTGTCGTACGTTTAAGAAAATAAATTGTCTTAGCAAAACTAACAAATTCCATAATTATTGCTTCTGGTTTGATTGCCTTAATGCCATAGTAATGCACGTATTTTTTCTGTAATGTATTTATTTATTGATCCATGTAAGTCGTAAAAATGCTTTGTATAATATTACATTTCTTAAAAAAGTAATCCAATCACATATTTATGTTTTTAATTCGAAATAGGAAAATATGCGCAGTGTAAGGTTAACGACCTGACATGTATAAATAGGTACAAACGAATACGTTTACTTACTATCAGTTTGTTGATGAAATGGCAGACTGACCTCGGGGCTCGAACTACTCATACTTACATATTAAATGTATATGAAGGTGCTGTCAGATAGGCTCAGTCATGATATAGGAAATAATTTTAATACCTACTTTATATTTAATGTATAATCTTCAAAACTACCGCAGGCAGATCATCATCATCATCTTCTCATACGGAGAAGATTAGAGCAACAATCACCACGCTTGGTCTTCTAATCACACGCAAGGTCTTATAATCAGAAATTATAAGACCAGGTTTCCTCACAGCCAGTGGTGTCTAAATAATCATAGAAAGTACATATAACTCGGAAAAAGCCACATTGGTATTTGCCATGTTTCGAACCCAAACCCTCATGCATGAGAAGCGGACTCCGTAACCTCCGGGCCACCACGACTTACGTAGGCAGATGCCAACAATAAAATAAGCATCATAACAGAGTGAAGATAAAGACTAAGCTTGCTCTGCACTAAAATAAGGTGACGGCAGCTTTCAAGCTTAAAAGGCTTATAAAAAATTAATTATAATACTGCTTGCTTGTGATAGATATTGAAATAACACAGTATGTTTCAATTGCTCAAATATTTCTAATAAATAAAAAAGAAATGTCACCTTAACCTTTAATAAACTCCTGGTTAGGTAATCAACGTGGTTTTATCCTATCTCTAACCTTCATCCCAAATTGGTCGATTCAATAAAAATACACGAGGTGACAAATTAACAAAAATTGCTTTCGCATTTACGATAATAGTTTGGATTATGAAATACGATCATTTTAAAGTGCCAATGTCATTAAAGAAGGCTGTATTAAGGATTTTCACAATGCTGTTAAACATAATGATATCTAATAAGTAATTTAATTATCATTTTAATAATTACTCATTACTAATGTGTTGAGTAGCATTCTCCCGGCCTATTTAAGGTTTAATTATAGGACTTCTAACTCAGTACTTTGTCAGCCCTTGGAGGAAATAGTGTGATAAATCAGTGTGTTTATTTTGTGTTATAAAAATGCAGTTATTACCGGTAAGTTAAAATATAAAATAACTTTATTACGTATTATTTTGGCTTAGAGACTGTATACTCTTTAAGCATAAAAATAACTTCCCTCGCATTATATATTTACTAAAGCTGCAAAGGAAAAAAGCAAGAGGAACTAGTTAATATTACTTTATAATAAAGTTCATTAATCTCATTCAAATGTGTTCCAGGAATTTTCATTATTGTTTATTTTTACTTTGTGTATAATATCAGTTATACACAAAGTAATAATAAAGTCTATATTATCAGTTAATGAGTTTATCTAGAAGTTGTAACCATGAGAACTACAGGACAAGTTTGATTACGGGGTCAGGAGAAGAATGATTATAAAGATTTTTTATTCGATTTCTCAGATAGTCTCAAATTGCTGTTTCTAATTTTGATTTTTTATTATGTTTTTTATTTGTTTCAGATACTAATATGTGTGGGACTAGCTTCGATAACCCACGCGAAATTATATACTAGATTCCCAAAACCGAAAGTAAATTACTTACAGTTACAAAATTCACAAAATTATGAGTTCAAGCCCCTACTGCCTGAGGAAAGGCGAAAACTACCATTGTTTTCAAGGAATCCTGTGAAGTTTGTAATATCACTGGAACCAACGAACAAAATTTCAAAGCCATACTTAGAAAGGAAAAAACCTTTGATGAAAAAACTAAATTTTCAAGATAAAAAAGAAATATATGCTGATAATGAAAAAAATCAATCAAAAGCCAAAAAACTTCTGAATGAAATCGATGTAATACAAACTCCAGTAGTAGAAGTTGACGTAATCAAAGAAGTCAGCGTCGAAATTATAGAAGATGAGCCGCCAGAAGACAGCGAATTTCAAAATGATGACAGTGAAAAGCAAGACCAATTTAGTGATATAATTGAACCACAAGTTTCAATAGACAATAGCGATAAAGAAATTGTTGAGTTAGACGAAACTATATTGCCTCCAAAAACTGAACTTAAAACTAGTGTAGAAAATGTAAATGGTGAAGAATCACCTGATGTAGAAGAGACGCATATAAATTTAAGTGACAACGAAATAAATGTAGCTATTGAAAAGGTAAATGTTAATGACGAAGAAGAAATCGATTCCCAAAACTATGCCAGTGAAGAAAAAAATAAGCTAAGTGATAGATACCCAAAAGACGATAGTGATAAAAGAAATATTGTGAGGTTAGCGGATATTTTATTGCCACCAAAAGCTGAAATTAAAGCCAGTGTAGAAGACGAAAGTGGCGAACTATTGCCAGATGACGAAAGACCAAAAGAAAGTCAATTCCAAAGTGATGCCAGTGGAAAGCAAGATGAACTAAGTGTAACAATTGGATCCGAAGTACCCATAGACATTAATGATACAGAAAATTTTGTTCAATTGGCAGATATTATATTACCACCAAAACCTGAAGTTGAAAGTAGTGCAGATTATAATCGTGGTGAAATTTTACCAGATGTAAAAGAAACAAAAGAAGGCCCGTTTCAAACCGATGCTAGTAAGAAGGAAGATGAATTAATCGATGTAATGGAATCTGAAGGCAAAACAGATAAAAGTGATGAAGAAAATATTGTCCAGTTGACAGATATCATATTGCCACCAAAAAGTGAACCTAAAGCTAGCATAGAAAACAAAAATAAAAAAGTTTTACTAGATGTAACTGAAATAAATAAAAGCACGATTGAGAACGAAGCAAATGACGAAACCAATAAAGCAATTGAAGAGGAAAATGTTAGCAATGGAGAACCAGGGGACTTTGTTATAACAGACATTTATGAGGAACCAGTGATCTATAGGAAAAAAAGGTAAGATCAGAAATGAAGAAACACAAAAGACAATTTGTTCTAATTGAAAAATATGTTGTATTCGAAAACATTAAAAACGATAACCAAGCAATAATTTAAAAGTGTCTCTTGGTACAATTAACTTATATGTTCATAGTAACATGTATCTACTTGATAATTTTAATTACAAAAAGTCACGTTTAAACGTTCGCTACTATTTGACGACATTCTTTTACTTGTGAATTTATCATTTAAAGGATGTAAATATTTTTTTCATAATTTACTTTATGTGTACAGAATTTTAATATTTCTGTATATCACTTTCATAACAACAAACATTGCAGTTGGCTTTGTTATGATTCTCATGAGTCCACTCATCAATAGTTTTATCATCTACCTAATTCTCATTTGTATTTTTCAGGGGCATTAATACCTATAATTGAAGAAGAAAATCTTGCATCTACTGTCGCGGGGTTTAAGTACACAGTGAGAGATAGAAGACTGAACAACCATTTGGCTTATAATAATATTAATTCTTGAATAGTTTTTTAGGTTTTTAGAGTTCCAAATGATATTGTGTATGTTAATATAAAATCCAATGCCATGTTATTTTAATCGATATTGTAAAAACGAAAGTATATATTTTCGTTTATCTCTTTCAAGTACTAAACAGACGATTTTGTGATATTTTTATTTTTGTATCGGAAAATGTTTAAGAGTCCAAAGAGGTTGAATGGTTGAATGTTATACAACCATATCAAACTAAATAATACTATGGTTATGCTGCCGACGATAAATACTGTATAATGATATAACCTTAATAAAACAACTATAATAAAAAGTATAATTATTTATTGACGTTCACTACGAAAAACTTACATTTACAGGCACCTAAAATGTACATCCTTATCCTAGGTACAACATAATGGCAAATAATCAATTCTCCACGTGTTTTTGTTACACAATAACATCTCAATGATCACACAAACGAGAATGAAACATAAATAAAATGTAACCTAAGGCAAGACAGAGACATACCGGCTGGTAACTATCTTTCACACCAAAGTAAATGGACATACGATAATTGTTTACACGCTACAAATTCTAATGTACTCGCTTCACTTTTACAATTTTGCGACACTTGGCATAAACAGCCAAGAAACTTACGAATCACTTGGTTCGAAAACAAATATTCGTACATGTAACGAAACAATGTCAGATACTATACACAATCACTCAACAATATTATCAGAATATACTATCTATTACTATACTTACCTAAAACAAGTGAAGCGAGGATACTGAAAAAATATCCAAAATTCGCAGCGAGTAAACGATTAAGGGTTACAGAGGATAGACAGAATCATTTATTTATTGTACTTGTAGATCGTATCGAGTCTGACTTTAAGTTCCGTCGCGCTGTCGATAGATGGCGCTATTTCTGGCTGAGTCTGAATACGTCGTTGAGCGGCGTGTACGGCGTCCGCGTCGGTATTGAGTTGAACGCAAACGATGGCTGTGCGTCTGCTCGGAGAATCACGACACCTGAACAAGGAAATATAATTTAAAGAAAATAGTATTAAATCATTGATAGGGTTAATATGAAAAGAAGATGTTAAATTGGAAACCGATAGAATGGAGATAACAAAAATGAATTTGAAAAGGAAACTAATAAGCGTTTAAAATTTAAATTAAGAACCTGATTCATATATGAAGAATTGAGAAGATTACTAAAATATATTTCATGAATATTAATTAATCCATTAAGTAAAACAAAATAAAAAACCGTCAACTGTCATGCAATATAAATACAACATAAAAATAATAAAATTGTTAGAACAAAAAGATACAATGTTAAGATAATGATGAAACAGTGATGACATGATGAGTCAATGAGAAAGCAATTAGTGTTATTGACGATACCGATCACCAATTAAGTAATGAAGATAGATAATAAGTGAACATGAGGAAATATAATAATAATACTGCGATAATTTGTAAAATACTTCCGTCCATTAATCTAAAAGTAATTGGATAAGAAATCCGTCAAATTGTAGAAGAGAGAACACAATGGTTCAGTCTTAATTATTGTTCTGTGGGTTCAACTAAGACAAAATTCGACCGAAGACTTAAAGAATATTAATTAGGTATTATATTTTGTCAACAGAAATACCAATAAGGCTATAATCTACCTACACTAATATTATAAAGAGGTAAAATTTGTAAGTTTGTATGTAGGGGGTAATCTTTGGAACAGGTGGTCGGATTGCGAAAATTCTTTCACTGATAGATAGCTACAATGTTCCTGAGTGCTATAGGCTATAAAACATCACGCTACGATCAAACAGAGCTGAGCAGCGGGCAAAACGGCGCAGCGGTAGCTAGTATATAATAAGGGTATACGTTAGACTTAAAAATACGTCGACAACAATTTTATTTGGTAAATTATTTTCGCTTTTTTATGAGATACTGTAAACGATTAATACTTGATGGTGAGAAATCGACGCCGCCCATGGACATTCGTAATTCAAAAGCAGTTACTACAAGTGCGTTGCCGACATTTTATAGTTTATTAAGAACTTACAGTTCGCTTTTAAAATAACATTGCAAATGAAATGCCTTTTCTCACTTTTTCTCGCCTGGTACTCCCAGTCAAGGATCGATATATGAAATAATACTTTTTTATGACTTATGACGTCTTAGGGATTTTGCGTCTGGTAATATACTTTTTTTTCAATAACAGATAATTACCTATTTTTGAACAGTAACTGTCGTGAAAAAAGTTTTGTTAATTCACGTGAGTATAGTCTCAATAAATTTTGAAAATTTCATATTTAATACTTTTAATGTGATGTCAAAAGCATTTCAATGTATGAAAGCGCAACATGTTGATTTTATGTTTTTAAGTCAAATCGCAAAATTATTTCTAAAAAATATCGTACTGCATGCACATAATTATCTTCAAGTCAATGAATGAAAATATTATTTTATTTAATGATTCATTGTGTTGAAAATACGAAATAATTTATTATAACCTAGGAAAATACCCAAATATATAAGTTTATTGAAATGACATTCTTTTTTATCTTTGTGATTCAAAGAATATCCCTTAGAAATATCCTAGTTTTCGAAAATCTCTTAACGAGCTCCAGCTTGAAAATATAGATATAATGAAAATGTAGGACTTAATGACGTATTAAATTTTGTAGCATTAGAGAGCCGACTGCGAGTTAATTCTACATTAACGTGATAAACACGTTTGCCACGTTTGGCTCTGTGATTGGTTAGTTGACTTGGACTAGACCAATCAGAGCGCCGAACGTCACAAATGTGTCGATCATCTTAACGTAAAGAAACACAATGAACCAACCACACTTTGACACACTACATGTAGGTATGAGTGAAACAAAATATACAATGTCCCATTCTATTCTTGTGCTCATGTAAAATTACCGATTTATATTACAAAAATGTTGATGGTGGTGCTTTGTACGATGATTAAGAGAAGATCTATAAACTTCAAATGATTCTTTGTCAATCAAAGTATTTGACATTTTACTTGTATACCCCGTTCTAGTGTCCGACTGAATAATTTCTGTAGCCATTGTAATTATAAGCATGATTTCATTTAACCTTCCAATCGTGGTAATTTGAGACACAAAAGGTTGGTGAACGCCGGCGTTCGCTTGGGGTTTGGTGAATATTTAAACGTAATTATTATGTTTTCGGCTTACTCACGTAATAATTTGACGAGATAGTCGACTACTTTCAAGCTGTAGTAGCATCGCGACAGTCGCCGCGTCGCGTGTCGCGGAATCATGCTGCTCATGAATACGGGCCTCTAGCATGGCTTGAAACTAGTCGAGTATCTCGTCAAATTATTACGTGAGTAAGCCGAAAACCTAAAAATTCATTTAGAATGACTCACCAAAGTAATAATAAAAATATTTAAACTCCTTTAGTTCTTTGGAAAATTCAGTCGGACAACACGACCTTACCAATGGACTGCGAAAAGCAACAGCGTGATACCAAGCCCTTGCAAAGCAAACAAGTGAGACACTTTCTACCTGAGGGGTTCACTTTCACTTTGATCTTGGTCTGCGGCGAGAGAACGCCGTAGTCGACGTCTTCATACAAATCCTGTTCAAAGAAATTTTATAGCATTAGTATACAAGAACGTTAAAGTGTATCGATTAATGTTTACGAGACCGTTTGAGCTGTCAGCTGAGCAATTACATTCGAGGAAGTAAACTAGATCTGCGCGAGTTTTATTGGTACTAGAAAAGCTACTAGCTTTCACTAGTTGTTATAAATTGCTCAAAATGTCATCGTTCCATGGTGGTTATTCCAACCACATGCTCCAGCGGTTCACCTCCGGTTTTATAATCGCTTGGGATGGAATCCTTTGCCGCGGAGTCTGTTTCCCGAATTCTATACCTGGGCGTCTTCAAGGCCCGAGTGAATAGGTTACTTATGGAAAGGCGTGATAGCGACCGAATGCCGACCATTACGAATAAAAAAAACAAATATAAGCATTTCTTTCGTTAGACGAAATGCTATAGGGATTTAAATTCTCATATACCTATAGGTCAATGAAATATTTGACATATCATTCCATACTCCATAAATTCTAAAATTCTCTTCGAAATTCATATAAATTCATATAATAATTCATATAAGCAAATGTAAGAATATCTACGTCGAGCCAGTACATACCTCAACCCTGTATCCAGCAGGGTTGTTTAGGCCGAGTTCTCGCAGCGTGACCGCAACGTCTGAGGGTGTGCCGTCCGTACGTCGGTTGACAAACGCCACTGCATACGAGTAGTACTGGCTCTGGATTGGTAGGATAGGACGCGACCAGATTTCAATGCCCCGATGCTGTAAAATAAGAATTGTTTATTTATATACTTAGGGCTTAAAATAACTACATATAATGGTAATTTAATATTAGTAAAGTATAATGATCGTACGTTTGTGATATCGTGGTCACAATATGTTTTTATAAAAAGAAAACGTTGCCCCACACTACAACTTTCTCCTGTGCCGTGTACAGTGTAATTTGCCAGCCACCCAGACCCGAAAAAACAATTTGTGAGTCACACTAAGTGTTGTTCCGTGCGGGAATCGAAACCGCGACACGTTGCACAGCAGCCAGCCACTGCACCAACCGTGCAGTCAAAAAAAATAGTAGTAAACATGTAAACATGGTAATCTTAGTAGTCCTGGAAAGAACATTACGCCAAGAAAACATCAGAAAACTCATGTTATCGGTATAAAAGAAAATCAGGAATAGCGTGGTTAAAACTAAAGACAATTAAAAGAAACCTAACTTTAAGCAAATAACTATAAAGTCTAATTTACCTTGTATATCCTTCTGCCTTGAATGCCAAGAGGATCTTGGTCGACTTCAATAATCTTCCTGTTTTGAAGGATTGCCTTGTACTCAGGTCGAATGGTCCTAAGATCCACACTCATTAATAATGGAGCTGCCAATATAGCCCAGATCGCGAACTGTGTCTTACTCTGCTCGTACGAAAGACCGAAGTTGCCAATAATCAGCTGAAAATTGAACAAATAATGGTTACACCCAAGTAATATACATTGGTAGAGGTAGATGGAAAGTATGTTAAACCTATTGGCATGATGATAATGATGATGAAGGAATACAAGCTTAAAGAAAATATGTATGTTTAATATTCACTATGACCCGAAGCTGAACCTCGTAGTAAATCTATAATCTATATATATAAAAGAAAGTCGTGTTAGTTACTCCACTTATAACTCAAGAACGGCTGAACCGATTTAGCTGAAAATTGGCAGGGAGGTAGTTAAGAGCCAGGAGAAGGACATAGGATAGAGTAGGTAGAGTAGGTTAGCTAGAGTAGGGTAGGTAGAGTAGGTTAGGTAGAGTAGGTTAGGTAGAGTAGGGTAGGTAGAGTAGGGTTGGTAGAGTAGGGTAGGGTAGGTAGAGTAGGTTAGGTAGAGTAGAGTAGGAAGAGTAGGGTAGGTAGAGAAGGGTAGGTAGAGTAGGGTAGGTATAGTAGGGTAGGTAAAGTAGGATAGGTAGGGTAGGGTAGGCAGAGTAGGGTAGGTAGAGTAGGGTAGGTAGTCAAATGACGGGAAAGACGCCGCGGGTAAGAGCTAGTAATATTATAAAGAGGTAAAATATGTAAGTTTGTATGTAAGGGGTAATCTTTGGAACAGCTGGTCAGATTGCCAAAATTCTTTCACTGATAGGTAGCTACAATATTCCTGAGTGCTATAGACTATAAAACATTACAGTCACTACTATTAAATGGAGCCGAGCAGCGGGTGAGACCGCGCGAGAGTAGCTAGTTAATAATATAGCCATATTTATCGGGCATAGTTAGGTTAGGTTAGGTGAAAGTTGTTTTAAATCTTTTAAGATACATCGGGCTATATACATTACAATCAAATTTTTCTTATTTATTCTTCTTTATAATACTCGTATTAGTACAAGAGAAAATTACCGGTTGTAAAATTTCCGCAGAACGTTTTTGATCGTGCAGTTGGCATATTGTTTTATTTTCGAAAGCCAAATTTTTACGTATATTTAAGTCTTAGAAGTATATCTTTAGTGCACTTTTAACATACACCACCACGCCTATCTCCCATTGGGTTTCTCCTGGCCCACCTCATCATCTTCCTGCCCTTGTCCCGTTTTATTTGGGGTCAGCGCAATATGTTTTTTTCTTCCATTCTGTCCTGTCACTCGTCACGCTATCGCTAACTCCTCTGTCTTCCATATCACTTCTCACACAATCCATCCATATTTTCTTTGGTCTCCCTCTCCCTCTCCATCCATCCACATTTATACTCATGGCTTTTGGCCTGGCCCACCTCTTGGTTAAAAATCGTCAAATAACTTCTCCCGCCCTGAGTGTGCCTGACAGAGAGAGTGTCAGACTCTTTTACTGACTAAAGCCACCCCGTTCCTTTTGCTTAATCCAGACCGAAGAACCAACCACCCCCAATCAATTCATACTTCTTTTATTTCAACAACAACATGCAGCAAGTTCTTTTCATAGCCCGCTCGTCGATCGATTCCAAAGCCTGTAAAATACGAAAGAAAGAAACCTCACCATGTCAGGGTCGTTCCAGTGTCCAGGTCCAGCGTTGGGCACGATCACGTCCTGATGGTTTCCGTAGTAGTCTATGATAGACTCGACGGACGCCCACGAGTCTTGTATGTCATCGAAGTTACGCCACAGGTTACAATGTTCGATGATCGACGAGAAATTGGGCTGGAATATACGATTATGAGCATATATTATATACTACCAACTAACAAAAAGTGTAGAATAAAGAAAGGGTTTTTTATAAAATACCAATAAAAATAAAAATTTGAATTCTTAAATGCCGTTAAAAATGTCTAAAAAACCACTTGCAGAATTATTAGCTAAAGTCGAGAGTGTCCAAAACAAAACACAATATATATAGCCAGATTCACATCCGGTTTCCGAAAGGCCAATCAATGTTAAAATCAATTTAATCTCTTGTCAAGTCATCTGATTGGTTCACTAAATTATCAACAACCAATCAGATGACTTGAAAAGAGATTTAACGGCAGATTAGTTAATTTTTAGCATTAACAAGCCTTTCAGAAACCGGGTGTCAGTGCTTTTACCGCGAATACCCGAAAAATCCCCAAAAAACTCTTTATCCAACCTGGGAAACGAACCATAACACCTTTTGTTGGGTTGTCGCAATTGCTTCTAAAGAGGCGGCAATTCGAAAATTTTATTGACGAAACGATAAGAAATGTGTGGAACTCCAAACGCCTGCATATTGAATATAGCAATGTTGCCTAAGTGAAAAAACTTATCTGTTCAAATCTTATATTTACGTAAACAAAATTAGTTATTAAAATCACAATAAGCAAAACTTATAACTTTCTTTCAATCACTTTTCACAATCCATTGTTACATAATTTACAGAACAGTGTAACACTAATGTTTAACCAAGGGATCCGAAAAAGAAATGAGCCTCAAGAACAGCGTTTAGTGTTCCAAAGGCTCTGGTTTTACCCACAAACCTTATTTCTCCTACAAATTGTGGTACTTAATAGCCAGGAATCTCACCTGAATACCAGCATAGATCTGATAGACTGGCCAACTGCAAGAGTAGACCATTTGGCGTCCAGTTAAGTTGAGCTCCTTTCCAAACTCAGGGTAACCGTAATCCATGTCAGCGGGTAAGGCATAGCATCCATCCAACTTCACATAGTCGACACCCCAGGCTGCGAAGGTGGCCGCATCTGAAAAAATGGGTAATTTGGTCAATAATTGATGAATAAGTCTGGGCTAAGGTAAGGAAAATATTTAAGTTTTTGAGACCTAAAACAGAAACCTGTTGAGCAAATTCTCCGATACTGCCAGCCGCCTGTCGCGATTTTTTATTTATTTTAACATTTAAAAGACTTTGACTTTAACATACTGATTAGGTACTAAAGATTACAACAGTCTTAGATAAGCATATTATTATGGAGGTTAAATATGAATATTTAATATCGAATAACTATCGAATTACTCCACAATAAAATTGAAAAAGAAAAGTAATCAAAACTGTTTATTATATAAATTTTAATCTAAGCATATAATCCACAAACACTTTAAACGTAAGTTTAAGTAGACCGTCTTTTGATAAATAGAAAACCATTGCAGTTTAAAAAAATAAAGTAAAATCAGTGGGATCCAACAATAAAATGGTAAGTGTTTATATTTCATACATCAAAACACATTGCCTCCGTCTTATATATTTTATTGATAAAATTCTCCGGTGTCCTACTATCATACCTAATAATATCATAAATGTTAAAATTTTCGAGAATGTAATGGATGTATCTTTGATGTATGATGTATCTTTCTTATTCTTTCGCGCAAAAACGGCTAGACCAATTGGGTTGAAATTTGGGATGTACATAGTTTATTATATACGTATGATTAACATCAGCTGCTTTTTATCAACATACGACGCAGGCGAAGCCGCAAGGGGAGGCTAGTTTCAAATAGATGCGTCCTTAAATCAACTGAGTCAAGTACAATTATGTACTCATACACTTTTTGTACGAAGTTAGTTTTTTTTAGAAGGAATGTAGTGATTCACATTTTGTTTATTTCTGTGTCGTCTGACAAATGCATGCCATTCCTGAACACAGATTGTTTTGTACAAAAATTTCGATCCTTGTATCGGCCTTTTCATTGTTTTTTTTTATTTACTTAAGATGGTCGTGGCCTATCGGTCTTTGGATCTTAGCTAATTTATTTTGGGTAAAACGAACCGATTTAGTATGTTAACGTTTATATAAAATATACTAAAACAAATTTTAGTTATATATCTACCTACATAGACATACTGGATATATTAATACTAGGTATCAATCACATCAATTATTATGGAGAAAATTATATAACTACTAACTTCAGTTTTTTGCATTTATGAAATAATTTAATCAACTTAATACTGATATTCAAATTTAATATTAACATTATATTAGAGGTACGTTTTATAAAGACAACTTATTTTACATATTTATTAAACGACTTTTACCAAAAAAACAAAAGACGCTCACAATATGCAAATTTTAATTTATGCATTGATCAAAAACAATTTATAGTTGTTATTAATAAATTGTGCTGTCTTCAATATCTTGTTGTCATTAGTAAATCGATATTCCGACCGAACAATCAACATTCACAAAATTCGCAATCGGATCCATAATTTTACAAACCGTAACCGTAAACTAATACATTCGTTATTTTGCAATTATTACAGTTCCAAGGATAAAATGTAATATTATATCCTGTTTGTCAGTTAGGCAATAGAGCCTGTTATGATCTAAGTATAAAAGGAAAAGGTGTGAAGAGAATTTGGATAATTTTCAAATATTTATCAACATGTTTCCTTTCGAATCCGAACTGTGTTTTCTTAAGGTTCCTTGCACTTACTTACAATCAGCATTAGTTCTGTGTATACCCTGGAATGTTCCCCAGATATTTTCTAATTCCCTAGCAATAATTAACACCAAAACAGATGAATATCAAACCAAGTAACTATTAACGCCATCTTTCTACAATTTTAATGAACTAAGCAATCGTTAGTTATGGAATCAAACAACAGATGGCATTGTAGTTACCAATACAAAGCAACATAGATGCTCAAACGCAGGTTATTGTGTGCGTTGATAATTCAAATTATGTACGAGTTAGAAATACTATTAAAAACAAAATAACGTAATGTTCACGTTCGCGTGTGCCATTTCTATCATGCGAACTCTTAGTTTGACGTTTCATTCATCATTCATTGTATAAACTTACTCGAACTACTCTCTACGTTTATGTAAGACATATTATCAAGTCTTTGCGCCCTGGAGGAGTAGGCAAAGCGAACATTGTAAGAGAATATACTTTTCAACTGTTATATATTTTGAGTCGCCTAAAACAGAAGCCACTGGCATTAGATAACTTCGTCCAACTTCAGAAACGAAACTTAGTTTAAGGGGGACGATACAAATAAAGGAATGTTTTGAAACGAGAATAACATAGCAAACTTGTACCTACTTATCTATAATTTTCATCTAATCACACAAACAATATAATTTAACACGTAATCATAGACGGATAATTAAGTGAGTTCCTGTACTAATTACTTCCATGTAGTAAGCACGCGAAATATGCACGCAAAGTAGGCTCAGCTGTGCTGTAGGTACAAGTTATATACCCACTTAAAAACATGCACCGGTAAAGGAAATCAAGTGTACTTATTGGGTAATCCAAGTCATTGAAGAAAACCGGGATATTTTATAAATAGTCTGCCATATCGGTCGAGTTTTTTTAAAAACGTTGCCCCACACTAGGACTTTCTCGTGTGTCGTGGGTGCGTTTACAAACATACAATTTCACATGCACATCACACCCAGACGCGGAACAACAATCTGTGGAACACACAAAGAGTTGTTCCGTGCGGGAATCGAACCCGCGACACGTTGCGCGGCAGCCAGTTGCCCAGTTGTTGGCTGTCGTGTTGTCTCAAATAAGCATGAATATCGAGCGTCTTGATTCCGGATCCTGCATCAGGCAAAGAATTGGTTTTCTGGCATTATTTCCAGTTATTAAATGCATGGACTGATGCTAATATAAATAATATTCAAGTTAATTCTACATTCAAGGGAAGATGATAGTATGTTAAGCCCAATCCGCATATTGTCAATTTTCATTTCAAGAGTCGATCGACTCGACCGGAATGATATCACGGCCTTACAGATTACCGGCGGTGAAACAACGACAGCGTTGTTTATGAGGTTACTGGAAACCCAACCGTTCCCCTCCCCCATTTTCCCCCAAACCTTAAATCTCCGAAACCCTAATATCCAAAAGGTCGGCAACGCACTCTAAACTTACCTAGTGTTGAGGGAGCCCACACTACGCTGATTGCTATACTCACCATTATTTAGGTAATCAACCTGTGGATTTGCCTTCCTATGCAAATAAACAAAATAGCGTTTGCGACCATTTAGACAGAGAAAGATACACTTATCTGATATCTTATAAGAATAAAACTCGTAACCATTAGGTACCTTATTTTATTTGTTTTGCAGGTAATAGATTATCAAAGTAATCAGTTACATAAACTTTAAAAGTCTTATTCAAAAGCGAAGCGAGTACCTACTGCCTTTAAAGCTATTGTTCATAATTTCACGATGACTTTAAACATTTGCCCGAATAAAGAAACAATTATCTTTCGCATTCAAACTTTCCTTTTCTTTCAGTTATGACGTAATTAAATTACGTTTAAAAAGTAACAGCGATTAACGATATAATGACACAAAAGATATGTAGGTACTAACTATATGGAATAAAATAAAATGGAATAAAATTTAATACCTGCACTACTACACTAGCCTCGGTTTCAAATGCTTATTTTACCGACTTCTCTGGCGATTTAGCGTGATGTTCTATGCCTATAGCACTCAGGAACATTGTAGCTATCTATGAGTGAAAGAATTTGAAATCCGACCAGCGGTTCCAAATATTACCCCCTACATACAAACTTACAAACATGCAAACTTACAAATTTTACCTCTTTATAATATTAGTATAGATTACACATTATCAGAACTATGCACTTTTTAGCTAGCTATGCACACAGCAACATAAAAAGGGTTTTTTTTTCCCGAAAAAATTGAAAGAGTAGACTAATATTATAAATGCGAAAGTAACTCTGTCTGCCTGTCTTTTCTTCATGCCTAAACCACTGAAACTATTTGTGTGTAATTTGGTACAGACATAGGTTGAAGCTCTAAAGCAAAAGCTAGAATCATTATAAACTAGAAATTGGCCAACATTTGACTAAACAGGGTGTCCGCATAAATCACATTTTAATCATATACCTACCTACGTCATGGTCTAAGGATATATTCCTAAAATCCGAAATACATGGTGATCCTAATGCCCAGTCCTCAGTAAGGAAATCACGAGACCTGTCGCAATACGAACGCGTTGTGCAAACTTTATGATAGATATTCCAATCGTCTATAACTTAAATACTTTTTCAAACATCCTATGAATGTATATAGGTATTGATGCTTGGTATACGTTGTAACATCGAATAGTAAAATCGATATGTAGGTTATATTGAGACATAGGTCCATTGTGTAACGTATCGTATATGTATTTTTAAGTAGCTCGGTTACAAATGTTCTACATTCATATACATACATATATTCCACATTTATATTTACAGTGTGACTTGATAGGTCCATCAAAAACTTTCGTGTTGCATCCGAATGACATATTTTTATTCAAAGAATCGCTTAAATTTTTTGAAGATTTTTATGTAATACACAGCCAATGTTACTGTTTACTGACTGACTATTATGGCATTGTGCTGGTGGCCCTGACGTTAAGGCACCCGATTCTCATGCATAAGAGTGCTGGTTCGAAAACTAGCAAGTATCAATGTGAGTTTTACGAGTTAAATGTACTTACTTGTTTTTTCTTGGAGAAAAGAATTTGGACACCAGTGATATACGGGAAAGGAAAACATCGTGAGGAAACCCGGACTTATATAATTTCAAATAATAAGTTTCTAATCTTGAACAACGGTGGTGATAAATGCTCAAACCTTCTTCGTGTGAGAAGAGGTCTTTGCTCAGCAGTGGGCACTTATAGGCTGATGATATGACGTCTATAACACCATGATAGAGTAGGAAGATACGGTGTAATAATATGTCTGACTTGATTGAATTTATATTCTTCGACATAACCTAACGAATTAACTTATGTAGTTACTTATAAAAGGTGCTAAAAAGTCACTCGCGATGAGTCATTTTTAGATAATATTAGGCTGTAGCTGCTGCCAACCCAGCCTGTAGTATCATGGTAAAAGTAAAAGTAGACCATTCGGTATTTCAAACTATAGTCTGTGATAAATACATAGGGTTGGCATTAGCGGTGCAGTGATCTCTGTGCATTAACGTCCTTCTTGCATCCATTAAATAATTAAAGAGTTACAGACATTCATCCATTCATTCATCCATACTTACAAACTTTCGCGTATATGTATAATATTAGTAGGATATTTCATGATTAAATAAAGAAGTTATAAAATATTATTATTATCAGTATTGTCCATAGGCTCAGAGACAATTAGCACGTAGTGCCTAAAAACTCACGATAGAATTTATAAAAATATATTTACCTCCAGCAAGATGGCCGACCACACCAGGGTATCCGGCGCATGTGAAGTTTCCGTAGTCCTCGTAGATTCCAAATTTCAAACCCTTGCTATGTACCTGTTGACAAGATAAACACACTTATTAATATCTGTAGCATTAAAATGTTATTAACTCATCAAACTTAACCAAGCGAACGCCGGCGTTCGCACACTGATTGTTCTTCTATTGTATCTTGAATTATCACGATTGGAAGGTTAAGAGGATACTGTACTCGAACGTAGTGTAGTAAGTAGAGGAGTACAAATGTATTACGCATTGCAATGTAGCACGCACTTTTTACCAGTTATGTATGAGTCTCATGTAATAAGTACTTACTAGCTTTTACTCCACTTCGCTCCCGTCATTTGACTACTTACCTCTACCCTATCTAGGCTACACAATCTACCCTACTCTATCTATCCTACCCTGACTACTCCTCCTATCTTCTTCTTCTGGTCCTAAACTATATTCCCACAAATTCTCAACAAAATCGATTCAGCCGTTCTTGCGACTTTCATCATCATCATCATCAGCCTGTAAGTGCCCACTGCTGAGCAAAGGCCTCTTCTCATACGGAGAAGGTTAGAACATTAATCACCACGCTTGCTCAATGCGGGTTGGCGATATCAAACTTACAATCAGAAATTATAAGTCCAGGTTTGCTCACGATGTTTACCTTCACCGTATGTCAGTGGTGTCTAAATAATCATAGAAAGTACATATAACTCGGAAAAAGTCACATTGGTACTTGCCAGGTTTCGAACCCACACCCTCATGCATGAGAAGCGGGCTCCTTAACCTCCGGGCCACCACGACACTTGCGACTTTATTTCATACATATATTGATTATAACTCTAAACCAGGTATAATTCAAAACAAAATGTCTTAGTAAATAGTTTATTTACTTTTTGAATTTTCGACCAGACAACAAAGTACTAGATACTTTGTTGTCTGTAAAACTTGGGAATTGAAGCCAAAAAATCGCGGTCGTAAGGGATATAATCAATTACTCTTCCAATACACCTTGTATCATTATCGTAGATAAATCACGAAGTTACACGAGCTACACGTGGCATAGGTCAAAATACTCACAGCCCATTCCGATGTTTAGAATGGCACAATTTTCCTAAACCGACCTTTGCAAATAGCACTTAGATATTGGTACCTTTTCCTCTTATTAGAAAATATTGGTATTATTTACGGACAGAAATGATAGGTCTTGCTTAAAATTTGGCCTCACAGTTCGATTGTCTTTAGTGTCGTGGTGGGTACGTTTACAAATTCTCAGAATCAGATTTAGCGCAATAAGAGACCGCAGCTTCGGCCTAGAGCAGGAGAAGGAACGAGGTTTTTAGTCAGTAACAGTCTGACACTCCCTCTCGCCCCACCCTTTGCTGAAGAAGTCATTTGATGATTTTCCCTTTACAAAAAAAGTGTTGACGACCCAAAGTTTTGTTTCTTATTAGAGCCGCGACAGAGTTAGTCCAGCTATTGGGCTAACTGGGCAATTCATTTTTTTATGGTATAATATTGACTCATTGCGTTTTCAGGCTCGGGGACATCATAATGAGGCGTAGAAGACCTAAAATCTCGTGACTAGTGACACGCTCTGCCAAATACGAAAAAAACCTAACACTATGATTGAATGACACCCTATTGTTTGACAAAAAACACACCATTTATCAATTCCTTGTAAATCTGAATAGTCACAAGTGACGATCACAAACATTTTTTTATGTGACGTCCTCCTAAATCAAGTGTGTAATCTTTTGTTCTTGTACTTAACTACACCGCTCGAACAATTTCAAACAACTACAAAACAAATGACGAATAAAAAGTTGCAATAGAACAAAATCTAAATCTCAACTTTTTGTCCGTAACAAAAAACTTTAAATAATACGAGCAAAGACCTTATTCTTACATTGTTAAATAATTCGAGCTTTTGTTATGAAATCTCTCGCAAAAACTACTATCATTATCTTGATCATGGATCGTTGTGAACGAGTCATTCACTCCTTAACCACAAGGCTAAATAACTATAACATTTTATTCGATCAATCGAAATGAGTATCGATTAAAATGATCGCTGTTCAATCGATTTATTTCGTGGGTGATTGATATATTTTGGTTCTATGGACTTTTCAAGGACACAATACTAAGATATATTATGGCATATAAATGCTACTTCTGTATTCTTTTGGTACGGTTGCATTGAGAAATCGCAACCTTGTATTCTGTTTTACAAATAAGAACTATAGTTTATCAACACTACATTTTATTACACTATTTTTATTTATGTATACTCCAATTATAAGCACGTTAGCTAAGTTAAAGTTTAAACTTTATTTACATAATATGCAAATGTATTAATTTGTTTGATTTACAAGCCAAATCAGGTAGCCTGTCTTTAATTACTACGTGCCTTAATGATCTTGTGAATTTGATATACAATATTTAAGTAATAAAAAGGTTTATTCATTTTAGAATAGGTATACCAGTGAGAAAAATCTGTGCCTATAACTTCGATGGCCTAAATAAAGGCTATAATAAAATTTTGTTAAACAAAAAAGCTGTCAGCTTTATTAGACGGCACCTATGTTTTGGGATACTTATTTTTTGAGGCGTTGTGTTTCGTCGTGTGAGTAAGGTTACCGGAGACCCAATCTTTCCCCTCCCACGATCCCCCCCCATTCCCTAAATCTCCAAAACCTTAATCCCTAAAGGGTCGACAGCGCACGCACTAGTAACTCCTCCGTTGACCATGGGCGGCGCTGATTGCTTACCAAAAGAGAAGAAAAAATACCTATCTGTCACATCTGACAACTGACAGAGTTAACATAACAGCTAGTGTCGTTACTAACACAGATAAGACAAGAGGGGTTCATATACTTGATTTTCGTTACCTAACTTTTAACTGTTCTAAAACAAATATTTGTTTATTCAGTCCAACAAAGAAAGTCATAACGTCGTAATATTTTTAAATATAGCTACTAATTAATTGCAAGTTCACTGCAATTAAAATGTTAGTAAGACCACTGTTATTTTTTTAATAAAAGTAATATAAAGTAAAATGTTATAAAGTTCTAAATCTTCGGAACTACAGGTTCGAACCAACAATTATTTTAGTGTTTATTAGTCCATTTATTGAGGAAGGCTATGAAACGATCTGTTGAAGCCGATTAGCGAGTGAAACCGCGCGAGAGTAGCTAGTATTAAAATGTAGCGCCTAATTAATTGTCAAGTTAACTGCAATTAAAAGGTTAGTAAGATCACGTTAACTGTTAAAGACTCTTCTTACAAAGTTCAACGTTAATCTATACGTACATTTTACTGTAAGTACCTGAATGTAAAAAAAACAAGAAGGTTGCAGTTAATAAGGGAACTCCTTGAACTTGTTTACCTTTAGAAATCTTAAATAAAAAAAAAAGTTAATAATGAGTAACATTTAGGTATATTTTTGTCTGGCAACTGACTTATTCAGACATTTAATGATAGTACAACCTATTTAATCAGTTCCTTATTAACTATTTTGTTCAAAGACTGGGTTAGAAAATCATTACGCGACTGGAGTACGCCGAAGTTTTGTAAACTTGATTAAAGCTTCATTTGAGTTAAAGGGCCAAAAATGTTCTATAAATTAAGTCTCATAGAGATCATGGTTATTAGTAACGGTATCAATAAGAAGATAAGTACATTTTACAAATACAATTAATTTCGCCAGTTTTGTTTAGTCTTTTGATCCTAAACCATGGTTACAAGCTATTAAGAATTGGCTATTCGACCATTGTACTTAAAACTACAATATAAAATAAAAAAGTATGCGCAATTATAGGCAAAATATATTTTTAGATTATTTTAAAAGACTTATATAGGTATATGGCCGTTTAGAAAAATAAATTTTATTATTTTGAGCAAATTTTCACACAAGTTTCGTGGCCAATTGGAATTAAAATCTTGCTCTCGGCAGCGATACTTATAAAATATCTACATAGGTATGTATGTCACATACAGAACCAAAACAATAGATGTCTAGGGCTAGAAAAGGAAAGTAAACATTACCTTATAATCTTCAATTACAGACATAAATATTAAGACGGCATATCACAAAGAAAATCAACGTACAATACAACTTTCTAGCGAAACAGCTTGGTCTACAACAATATTCACTTTCCTAATATACATAACTAATGTACTATTGTACATAATAGTAATATTATTTGCATTTCTTCTTGCTAAATGAATTTCAAGAAGGCATTGTTTTCCAAGATGACTCAACGGTCAAGGTTTAGTAAACATGATAATATGCACCACCACAGGCAAACGATCAGATTACCTGATGGTAAGCAATCGGCGCTGACCATGGACATTCGCAACACCAGAGAAGTTATAAGTGCTTTGACGACCTTTTGGGGATAAGGGGTTTTGTGGATGAAGGCATTGGGAGATATAGGAGAGAGAAGGATTAGGCTTCCAGCAACCTTCAAATTCTCAAAGCTTAGTTTCAAGTTAGTAGCCGGTTTCTTGCTCATTAGCTTAAACATAGTGACACTGTAACTTTATATGTTTAATAATTTAATTTGAAGTGGCAAAGTGTATTATATATATTGGTCTATTTGAAATAAATGATTTGTGTTTAAAACCACCGTCATAAGACGTAATGCCAAATATAATGCTTGCTTTTAAAACGAATACACTTTTCACAAATACTAAAAAGTAATGTTCAAATCAAAGTTGTACATACACACTCTACCGGATTCTGTCCTTAACCTAACAAAAGCTTTAAAGAACAAAGAACCGTAAGAACTATTAACACAATGGCCTAATTACCATATCACCTTCTCTAAGTACATGATTGTTACGAAGATGTCATGTATGGTAAGGCGTAAGTTCACGCAGTGCCAGCGGGGCATTGCGCAAACTCGTGGGAAAACAGCTCTGACTCCGTTTCGAAACATGGTATACGATGTGCCACTGTAAAACCTATAATAGCTTCCTTTATCTTCTCCGCCTAGATTTCGTTGAAAATCCCCTACTATGGGTTCAGTTTAAAGTACGAAATTAACTGTTAGAGATTGCTT